ACTGCCGTCGCTAAGTAGTATCTACGAAGTTAGCTGTTTATGAGTACAAGTAGATGAAGTTAGTTGAATAGTGTAGAAATTTTCTTCGCGGCATTGGTGAGAAAATAATCGTGCGCTGTAATTTTTTTTATTTTTGACAAAAAGAATGATTAAAAATGGTGAAATATTGTATGGTGCGTGGATGTGCAAGTGGTTTAGCATCTGATCGGAAAAATAGACAGAAAATGACATTTGTTGAGCAAACTTAGCGGTCGCAGCACCTCACTTATTTTGCCCATATTTCTAGAACACTATTTTCTACAGCGATCGTTCTTCTTCTTTCTATGGTTTAAAAACTTAGAGTAATTACATACATACGTAATGCAAAAAACATTTATCTATGCTTTCTGTCGTGTCAGTGTCACTGTTGAGAGTTTTGGCGGGATCTTAGCCGTAGGCGGATTGTCGCTCCTGTTTTGTCGCTTGAATAATGGTTTGAAGTGGATTTTGATTCGTAAAATTGATGCGATTTTGTGAAATGAGTGTCCGCGCGTTTGAACTATTAGAGAAAACGACGAAACAAGTGCTTTGATGTTGATATAAACCTCAAGTAATTTTGATCGCTTCGGCGCCTTATGAACATGAGCGGCTGTCGTCATCAACTGTCGTTGATGTCGCTGGGTTGAGCTGCGGATTGACATCGGAGCAAAATCTCTCAAGGGCTTCGCATTGTGACGCATCAGCATATTGTGATAAAAATTTAAAAATGAATATTCTCAAAGAAATGCTAAGCTCAGTAGGGCTAGAACCCAGAGCCGTAAAGCCAGTTAATAAAAAAGTGTCAATGTCATTCATCAAATCAAATAATTTTTTCAGTCATGTTTTAGTGATGTTGGGGCAGGTATCGCAACTTCGATTCCAAAATATTACGTATTTTTCATAAAATATAATATGTTAGAATAGTACAGTTTGCTCAAAAGCTGCAAGATTTGCTATTATTATTGATAAATCAATGAATAACTACAGGTAAATATTGTATTACTTATTGAATCGTAGTGAAAGTGCATATTTATTTAGTGTGTAAGTCATAGGTTCAGCATCTTGTAGAAATAAATAAAAAAAAGTATAAAAGATCTTGGTATGGAGCTTTATACATACAATAAAGTTAAGCCTATGTTTGGAAAATTTATTATTCATCTCCAAAGTGTTGATTTTTATTCAATACGTCTATAACAAGCAAACGGGTTTTTCTGACCTTGTAATAGCATTCGTGTTCTTATTATTTAAATGCTTCCTTTCTCACAGTTTTCAGTTCGTTTATACTTAGTGACTAAAAATCTATTAAGGGTTTTGGGGGATAAGCTGGCTATAACCAAATAGTATAAATTACTATGCAACTAAAACTAGGTGCAGCTGATTGCGCTTGATTAGACTTATTACTAGAGACATATTCTATTTTTTCATGGCTGATAGAAGTTCAGCCAGTTGCTTTCAGGTAAAACTGGTTCTATTGACTTGAGGTGAAACTGGTTAAATTTAGAATAACATTAAAATTGCTATAACTTCTATGGTCAGGGAAAATTTTCTTCATTTTTTATTTGTGTAAAATTGAAGAATAATCTCTGATTGTACTGTTTGCATCTGGCTGGTTTTAATATCAATACATATTGATTAGTGAAGTTTCTACATACCCGTGAGCGAACATTACCAAAGCGGATTGGTAATGGTATTTATTTTTGGTTCCAGCTCTATAGTGGCCAGAGCAGATCCTCTTCAGGCTAATTTTTCTATTGCATCATTGCCTCTGGATCCACTGTATCCATTACAGACACATTATTGTGTTTACATACCTCATTTAATTGTTGATGGCATTCATATATTAGTCCCGAGTTCAGCACATTTTAACTCAGAGCTTGTAGTGTCATCATACTGTTGGTTAGTATTTAGATGGAGAAGTCTTTTACCTTCCTAGCATCTATTGCTATGGCCGCTTGGATGATACATATTTAAGCCAGACATGCTCTCATTATGGCAACAAGTCTGACTATTAGGGCTTTACCCCCCACTGTAGATGTGTCAGCAATATGCCGTCAGGTCCTGCCGCTTTATATGGGAGGAAAATGTGTATGGCCCAATGGATTTTATCCATTACCACTCTTTACTTAATTCCAGTTTCCTGCTATTGGTGTCCATGTATCTTCATGCTGGTTTACCTCCTTAGTTACACAGCAACCTGGGAAGTGGGTGTCAATAAAAATGCGTATGGGTTTCATCCAGCAATGTTGAGTAACTTCCGTTGTGTTTCTTTAGAGAGATGGATTCGGGAGTGTTCTGTTTAGCTAGGATTTTCTTATCTGCTTCGCATGTTCACAGGTTTCTATGTTACCTCAGAATTAGCGCCACCCTGTCGAGAGTCGATACCTGATACATTTTTTGTACTTAGACTTAGCTTTCTTGTATAGTAGTCAGTCTACATCCATTGAGGTATTCACTATTCATGCCCCTATTTAGGGCTTTTCTTACATTTTTATGTTTCCTATCTAGTTCTTGCCATGTAGCCGTGGTAGCTCAGATAGTTAACAATCACTTTAAATATAACAGAACGCGAGTAACCCGGGTTTGATCCCCACCGGCACCAATGAAATTGTTAATTGCAATTTTAAGTGCTGATTTACCACATGCTCGGCAGTGAAGCCTGCATGTCTGAGGAATTAAAAAAAAATTCTAACGTAGACTTGAGAAGTTCGCCAACACGCATTGGGGCTGAGCGGCGGACACTTCCTTGCCCTAAAACCCTCTCAGAAATGAGGGGAAGCCTGTGCCCTGTGTCCAGCAGTTGGATGTATATAGGCTGTAACTTTACTTTACTTCTTTATCTAGTTCCTTACCCCACTATGGTTGCTTTACCGCAGCATGCCTTGGTGGAGTAATTTCTGAACAGAAAATGAAATTGTTATGCTATTGCCTATTGGAAGCCATATATAAAGATTTTTTTCATCAAATTGTAATAGCATAGTGGTAAAAAACTGCCTATTAATGAGAATCAATTATGTTAAATATCTTATGTAATATATTTGTTTAAGGCCCTATTATGAAATACTTTTGAAGAGAAAAAAGTACAATTTCATTCATTTTTTACAGCCACATTCAGATGTATAGCTCCTAAAAATGATTGGAATAGTATTTCGTATGTTTGCAATGCTTACTAGCGATTGAAGCATAGACTATTATATAACATCTGTGGCGGGACGGTGAAAATTGAGGCTTACTGATGGTTGTATGTGTTCAGAAACAACAGAAGAACAACTTCAAAGATTTTTTTTATAAAGTTTTGTATTAACGAACATTGTGATGTGTTTAAACAACTTCAAAAAGGAGGAGCTACTCAATTCGACTGTATGTTTTTTAATGTTACCTCAGAACTTTTTTTAGGTGAACCCATTATTCATCATCTCTTCTTCTAAATCATCTACATCTAGATTTAGTTAATTTAGATGATGTTCTCATTTTATTTATATTGAAGTCGGTTGTACAAAGTTTTTAATTTTACCACTTGGCTTAAAACATTGTTCTATGCAGGGTATCTCTACTTTAGTTTAGTTTACGACGGGCTGTTTTCCGCAACTCCACGTCTTAGCGCATATTTTGCGTGCAAAAGGGTACCTCTAAATATGAGTATAAACCTAGATTAAAAAAATGTTTTTTTTTTTTTTTTTTTTTTTTTTTTTGCGCCCGAAGCAATTATTTGCAACCCACCCGAAAGCGGGGGAGGGAGGTTGAGAATGCTCATAGCATACCACGCAGCCGGCTGCGTGGTTATGTGGAGACTTTTACCCACTAAACTCAACGTTTTGGGAATTGGCTTAACGATCTGACTAGAGATCTCTAAGCCGTATACGAACGCGACCCTCCTTAGCAGAAAGGAGGGCGCAGGTAAAAAAATGTCGCACTTGCTTTTTTTTATAGAAAAGGTGGCAAACGAGCATGCGGCTCACCTGATGTTAAGTGACTACCGCCGCCCATGATCAACCGCAACACCAGGGGAATTGCAGGTGCGTTTCCGGCCCTTTAGAAAGGAGTAAGCTCTTTTCTTGAAGGTCCCCAGATCATATCGGTCCGGAAAAATCGCCGGTGGTAAACTATTTCACAGAGAGGTTGTACACGGAAGAAAACCCGTTGTGAAACATACAGTGGTCAAGCATCCAGATGGTATGGATGCTTTTATTGCTTAACCCACACTGCTTTTTGTGGGTATTCTATAGTAAATATAAAAAAAAAAACATTTTTTCAATCCACTTTATATATTATATACTATTACCATAACTGCCTACTGAAGTCTATTGTGAAACATAGGCCTCACCCATAGATTGACTCATAGGTGGGATATTTACCATAGTTGCCACATTTGGCAAGCAGGTTGGCAACTGTAGTTTTTTATTTTTAGTTGTAATTTTTTTAAACCTTATCACCACTAGGATTTTCTCCTATATCGTGGGGGCAGTTTATAAACATAAATTGAACATGGACAAACATCCAGACCCGGAACAATTATTTGTAGGCCATACAAATACTTGTTCCGTGCGGGATTCGAACCCGCGGCCCCCAGCGTAGTCACTCATTGCTAAGCCACTGCGCCACGGAGCTGTCAAGTTATTAGGAAGACGCTGCTGTCTATTTCCTGATTTGTTTCCCTCTGTTGCCTCTTATGACCTACGGGATTGTGTGGAGTAGTGGATATTCTTACACCGCCACTACATGCACCCTAATGTACATAATAATAACAAGGTAAAATATTGCAAATTTATTTACAGATCACCTGCCCATCATCTACAATGACCAGCCAAAAGATCTATCTGGTTTTTGCTGGCCTGTTTTGGTTAACAAACTCTGAGTATATTCCACCGGGGCCAGCATATCCATGTCCAAAAGAATCTGAGAGCCATTTGCTGTACCCTTGTGTTTGTCAAAAGGGAACGGATTTAGGACTACACATCAGATGTGAAAATGTTGGGCTTGCAGTGTTGAGTGTGGGGCTGGGCAACATTGCTGGGTTGGGTTTGCCCATTGAACGACTAGAGTTGCAGGAGTGTAAAATAAGTAAGTATAATTGCTAATGTACTTGTGTAGTTCTATTAATATATGTGCATGATACAACATAATTTTAAGACTCTCATCAAACACATACCTCTGTGGCCGTGGAAGGAAAGGGGAGATCTCCCGCCGGGCAAGGTGTTCTGCCCAGGGAGCGGCCAACACTCCATGTGATGTTCGGTGTTTTTATCTGTTTATGTTCGAATTTTGGTAGCGCGATTTAGGCGTCGGTGTTTTTCGCTTGTGTTCAGACCGGAGGTCGATAGTGCAGCCTTGTTGCCGATGAATGTGCAAGTACCAGGGCATTGCATTATAGTCTGCGGTAAGTCGAGAAGAATGCAAGTAATCTGCGAGAGTGCCGTGAGGCAGAGGCGAGCAGTAAGGCTCAGAGCCGTGCCGAACACTGTAGCGCAGAGAGTAACTTGAAGGAACAGGAAGCATTATTATTCCAGTGCTGCGATAAACCTTGTGAAGCTAGATGGCTTGCAGGATATGAAGACTGTAGACGACATCTGCTCGGGAGCGAATAGGTGGGGTATTCTATGACGATGAGAAGCTTGAAGTTTCCGAAGGTTGTTGGTTGCGTTAGATAGAGGGAGGTCGGTAAGATTAATGACGGCACGCTCACAATTGATCCTCTGTCAGACGAACACACTATCCCAATGTGCATGTTCATGTTCAACCATGAGTACCTGCTCGACTTCTTGAATTGCAACAACTAAATATTTTTAGGACCTGTTAACCCTTTCCCTGTACTATATATCATATAAAGACTGCCTCGTTGGTCTAGTGTTTGTAGTAGTGCGGCTGCTGATCATGTGGTCCTGGGTTCGAATCCTGGGTCGGGCCAACAAAATCAACTATTGAGTTTTGCCGTCAAGAAATTCTCAGTAGCTGCCCGAAGTCAGAAAGTTAGCGGTGTCACCCTCGTGCCTCGGAAAACACGTGAAGCCGTTGGTCCTGCGCCGGATCTCTCTCCGGTCGTGTCGGTTTACCGTCCCATCGGATTATGAGAGTGAGGGAATAGAGAGTGCACCTGTGCTTGCGCATACACTTATATACTTATATAGGGCACTATAATCCTGTCCTGATGGCTAGCCTCCGTTAAGGCAGGCCGCCGAAATTTGGGCTGGAGGACATTATTATTATTATATCATATAATATGAACATTTCGATTGTTTAACAATTGTGTCTACCTATAATGATTTCTTAATTTACGTGAACATTACACATAGAATAAAACTATATTTACGATTTTTATCGCGTTTAATTAACTATTTTAACTTATTTTTAATTCCCTACGTTTCGGGTGCTTTACAGCACCCATGGTCACGGGTGGACTGAGATGTTTGACATCCCAAGTCAGTATAATAACTATGGCTTTGGGACGACAAACATCTCATAATCGCCCCTTACGATACCCAAGGCACAAAGTGGGGTAGTGGCCTCTATGCACAAGACCTCCTGCCAAAGGCAAACTCCGGCCTTCTGTCTTCTTGGCAAAGTAATTGGCATCAGTCTAAATTTTTAAAATGTAATCAATATTCCAAAGTCCAAATTAATATCCCAACAAAATCCTGTTTTTTTCAATATCGCCACTTTAGTAAAGCTGCCACCTCTACTGTTTGCCGCCTACGCTTTGGTCATGCTTGTACTCCTGTACACATGGCCAAACTCAGGATTAGGGATAGCTCAATCTGTGAATGTGGCCTAGATGAAGGATCTGTCAATCATCTGTTCTTTGAGTGTCCTAAACTTTCTTTCTCTCTCTACGATATCCTGCCCAATTACATCCCTCGTCCAGTAAATTTCCAATTTTTGCTGACCCTAGTGTATACTCCCTTCGTAAATATTTTATGTGCTCTTATTCGTACTAATAATATTAAACTGTAAAATTACTTAACAACTTTGGTGATGGTATTTTAAATATGTGACGTCTTTTGTTGTAGATTGTGAACCCACTCATTAAATTGAGAACTCTTATTTTAACTATTATTATCTTGTGACTCCCATGACTGACTTGACGCTGGCAGAATTCTATCAAGAGAAGCCATAATTTAAAAGAAGAAGAAGAACTATGACTTTGGGATGACAAACAAAGACAAAGAATTTTTTAAAAGTTGCCGATGCTGAGAAATAATTACTGACAAGTTGACTCAGTGAGCTGTGAATTTTGACACCAGCATTTATTCTAGGTATTTTACGATTATGTCGCCAAATCTCGGGAGCCATAAGATTTATCTCTGGCATTTCCCATAATCGCCCCTTACGATACCCAAGGCACAAAGTGGGGCGGTGGATTCTCTCGCGCCGCGATCTTACGCAATATTTACGTATAAATAACACAAGAAATGGTGTCAGACATCTGCAATCGCCAATCTACCTGAGAAATATAACGATTATTATAAGCCGTCCTTATTATCCAAACCTGACACTGGACTGCTTATGATCTGATGAGAGTTGAGACAGTTTATTAAAGTAAATTTGTATGATTTGATTTCAGCAAACCTCTTTGGATCGCTATTCCATAGATCAACAGTAAGGGTACTGCATATCATTGACACACCCATCAAAACAATCGACGAGTTTGCCTTCGCGGGAGTGAACAGGACTTTGCAAGAGATTTACATACGTAACACAAAAATAGCAGAATTTCCAAAAGATGCTTTCAAGGTACAGTTTTATTCAAATTTTTTATAATAAGGGTGACGGTGACAAACGAGCACACATACCACCTGATGGTAAGTGGATGCTGTGACCCACAGACATCTACATCTATCCTCGGTTTAGAATCATAATGCAGTTGTGTTGTTGCTTGCCACTGTTTAGGTAAATAGATTTTTGTAAATACTTTTATAAAGATCTTTGTTTATGGTTTAGTATTTTTACTTATAGCATAAAATAGTTCTATAAGTTTTAGTGCAATTTATATGTATATATGTTTATTATTGAAAATATATTCATTAACAATTTTGAAATCATAATAATGAAAAAAAAAACCGCATTTAATTACCAAAATTGTTAACAAATATAAATTTTATCACTTCGTGTCAATGTTTGCCCTCCCAGTATTTATTTAAAATTAGATTTAGCTTTTTACTCTCTTAAATTTATAGTTTGGAGATGGTAAAAAAATATAAGACATTATAATATTAAAGTAAAACAGTTGTAAATTTAATAAATAATAAGTATAATGATTTCTTAAATTTACGCGAACACTACACATTGAATAAAACTAAATTTATGGATTTTATCGCGTTTATTTCACTACTTTTACTTATTTTTTTTAATTCCCGACGTTTCGGGTGCTTTACAGCAACCATGGTCACGGGGGGGGGGACTGAGATGTTTGACGTTCCAATGTCATAGTTAGTCCGGCTACCTTCAGTTTTTGAATATTAATTTTTGGTCCGATTTACGCAAAACGAGCTTATAGTATCATGAAGTCTTGCAGTGGTATGCTTAGGTTTGGGTTTAATTTTGTTAATTATAGGATCCCAAGCAGGTGGCAGCACCCATCCATCTTCTCTATTGAAATTTGGATGTTTTTTTATTTCAATAGCCTCGCGTATCATCCTTGGTAGAAATCGGTGTTCTTTTGCGAGAATTTGTGGTTTATCAAAACGAATGTAATGGTGGGGACGATCTTGAACATGTTCGCAGACTGCAGACTTTTGTTCAAGATCGTCCCCACCATTACATTCGTTTTGATAAACCACAAATTCTCGCAAAAGAACACCGATTTCTACCAAGGATGATACGCGAGGCTATTGAAAAAAAAACATCCAAATTTCAATAGAGAAGATGGATGGGTGCTGCCATCTGCTTGGGATCCTATAATTAACAAAATTAAACCCAAACCTAAGCATACCACTGCAAGACTTCATGATACTATAAGCTCGTTTTGCGTAAATCGGACCAAAAATTAATATTCAAAAACTGAAGGTAGCCGGACTAACTATGACATTGGGACGTCAAACATCTCAGTCCCCCCGTGACCATGGTTGCTGTAAAGCACCCGAAACGTCGGGAATTAAAAAAAAAAAGTAAAAGTAGTGAAATAAACGCGATAAAATCCGTAAATTTAGTTTTATTCAATAAATAAATAATAATCAAAATGTACTATGTATCCACGTTTGTTATATAATACTGTCTGTATTTTTATTCTTTGTTGAAAGTCGTTGCTATGCACGAAATATCGCCGTAGGAAGGGGAAAAGATGCGAACTCATACAAGCACTTGGGCGCAGCAATAAGGTCGAATTCAGCTTGCGTGCGTGATTTATCTAATTAACAATATTCACGTAGGCTGTTAAAACGTCGGCAAGTAGTGAACATCAAAGGAGTGCAACTACTATATGTAGTACTATTATTTATTCTATGCTTATAGGTAAAAAAGCGTTTAAAAAAGATGCTATTTATTTATTTTTTCAATCAATACCAAAAATGCTATAAAATGAACTAAAACTTGTCCTAAGAGTTGAGTCTTTTAGACTATTTGCTTTTAAAATACTGTTTACATTCTGTTAGTGCAATCACTTCATTTATTTACAGATCATGGGAAATCTATCAATATTGTCTATAGACGGGCATCAGATGAAATCACTCGATAAGGACATCTTTGGAAACAGTGAAGCTGCCGGCAGTTTATTGCGGCTGCATCTCATTAATGGTCATTTATCTGATATACCAGTTGAAGCATTTCAGGTACATTTCTTCTATTTATTTAGTTCTATTTTTAAGATTGTTTTGTCATCTTTTTGTGTTATTTAAAGTTTCGAAAGTAAACTATATATACTGGTTTGTCATTGTCATTATTGCAGCCCATCTAAAGTCCCGAGGGCGACCCCCTCGCTAGATGGAGTGACGACCGTGCTTTGTGGCATTTCTTGGGGGAGGCCTATGTTCAGCAATAGACTTGTAAAGGGCTGTAATGATGATGATGATGATGATCTAAAGTCCACTGTTTAACATATTCACAACAACTGGCACAAAAATTAGTTCTAAAAAAGGTGGACACTCTGTCAATGGAGGTTGTGTTGTTAAAATTTTGTTTAGGGCGTCCCTCGCTGGCTCTGCCATTTACTTGTGCAACACAAATTTGCTTTGTCGCTTCGATGCAATGCCTTTCTTAATCCTGATCACAAAATCATCTTGCAAACCACACTTTTCTCTTATCACACAATTTATCACCCTATTTTAGATTCAGTCCTAACATAGTCCTTAATGACCGCATTTCTACAGCATTTATTCTACTCACGTGCTTCTTCTGCCACACCCAACTTTCACTACCATACATCAAAGTAGAGACTAATACAGTACTGTGAATTGCCACACGTGATTTTTTTTACACATTCTGACTTTCCACAACAGATTGTAGACCCCCATTTACTCTATTTCCTGCATTCACTCAGCTCTATATCCCTATCATATTTACCGTCTCACAAACTCATCCACTTGCTCAACCAACTCCCCTTCATTTCTTATTTCACATAATATCGTTTTATTTCTTCTCTTGCAAAAACCATCACCTGTTTATCTATGTAACCATCATCTGCAACTGGACCGCCGACGACGCTAATATTGGCGTACAAAAGACATTTGATGGTTAAGGGGAAATATAACCTCAAATGGCTTAGCAAGATCCTCCGTTATGCCGAAAATATTAATTTTGAAATAAATATATGGTAAAGTTAAGGATTAATGTTAAGGACTATGTTAGACGAAAACACAATTCCGTAAAATTTTCTCGATAGAAAAAAATCCAAAGTTACCTCCAAAATAAACAATAAACCACTGTTATTCATAAAATACTTTAAATGAGACGATGAAACTTTGCATACTAACTGAACTAACTATAAAGCAGTGCTTATGTTATTTACTTTTTTTTAATTACCATTATTTTCACTGTAAAAAGAAATTATCTAAACTATCGGCATCTTGAAGCTTGATTCCTGCCGCCTGGTCAGTTTCGCTTCGGCCTTTGAAGGGGGAGGTTGTGTCGCTTACGATCAGAATACACATTACGAAACAGGACGCCGTAAAATTAAAATGGGAAATAACCGTAATAAAAATAAGAAGCGACTAGGTTGTCGTTAAGAAACAGGCATAAATATGATAAACCTAATGAAATAAGTATCTAACGACCTATCTACTTACAGTATTAGTGATTACAAACATGTCGGTACATAGCATACGACGTGCGGGAAAGTGGGGGCGAAATTAGAATTTGAGCTGACTTACTATATCCCCTTAACTTATCCATTCTTAACACACATTCTTCAACTTTTGTCCAAACAACTGTCCATTAACTAAACAGCTACGAAGCTACACAATCCTGTCTGACACCGTTATAGATGTCAAAACAATCCAAGTAGGCCCCGTTATTCGTAACACAATCACTCTATTCTCTATAAAGAGGCTTTAATGCCTGTATCAACCCAGCACTCAATCCATATGAGTCCATTGTTTGCCATAAAATATCCCTGTCCACTCGATTATAAATCTTCCAAGTCCATGATCGCACAAAAAACCATTAAGTTTTTGGCCATAAACTTCTCCGCGATCATGTGCATGGAAAATACCTAACAATCCGTATCCGTAATCCGTACACGCCATTCCCTTTTTAAATATCCAGCTTGCACATCCCAAATTTTTCTGTCAGTTTCTTTCATAACTCTTTCAATCAACGCCTTAGCATACAGTTTTCTCGCAATCCTAGGCAGGCTCATGTCACAGTAGTTTTTACAGTCCTGCTATGACCCTTATCCCTTATAGCCGAGCACTATAACTGCTTTGCACTACGCTCACGGTACTCGCCTCTGTTTTCATAAAACATAAAAACATAAAATTCTGGTCTACCACCATTTCCTCTCCAGGCCTTAGCATTTCGATTAATACTTGATCAATGCCTTACCTGCTTTCATGCTTATCACTATCACTTATCTCACTACCTCTTTCTTCTTTCGGAATTTATAGATACTTTAATTCAAACATCTCCTTACCTTTAAACACGCTCAGCCATAAACAATTATTACTTCCATCCTTCTCATTCCCTCCAGCCATAACTTCAAAGTCTATACCTATATATATATATATATATATATATATATATATATATATATATATATATATATATTATTTACCTTTCTTTTTTTCTCCATGTTTGCTTTTTATCTAACTGCTGTTACCATTATAAAATCATGAAGATCAAACTATGTCATTTCAGAATCTAAAAAAGCTACGAACACTGGACTTGCACGGGAACAGACTGGCCAATCTGAAACGTAACCAGTTCAAGGGAATGCGCGCCTTAGAATTGCTGGATGTAAGGTTAGTTAGTTTGTAAAAAAAGTAAAGTTACAGCCTATATAGGTCCCACTGCTGGGCGCAGGCCTCCCTTCATTTCTGAGAAGGTTTTAGGGCAAGGAATTGTCCGCCACGCTGCCCCAATGTGTGTTGGCGAACTTCACATGTCTTCGAAATATTTTTTTTCTTATTCCTCAGACATGCAGGTTTCCTCACGATGTTTTCCTTCACCGCCGAGCACGTGGTATATCAGCACTTAAAATTGCAATTAACAATTTCATTGGTGCCGGCGGGTATTGAACGCGGGTTACTCGCGTTCTGTTATATTTACAGCGAGCGTTAACCATCTGAGCTACCACGGCTTTTAGTTAGTTTGACCGCAGAATAAATAACAAGAACACAAGGATCACCCTCTGATAGTAAACTTGTGAGTTTAAACCTATTTACAACGACGTTAATGTTCGTGAATTTCTAACCTTAGTGAATTTAGCCTACCGATATTAAATTGTCGAATAAAAATTTATGTGACGCGCGTATTAAATTAAAATGCCAACCTTACGTTCATGTGCGAGTGACTGTGTCACTTAGCCCGTTACGCGCCTTTATTAAGGCCGCTTCTACGAGGGCGGCACTGAAAATTTCGGGAATCAAGGAAGTGACACAACATTACTATTTAAAAATGTATTTATTGCTTTTCGAAGTATTCTCCGCGAAATTTGACACATTTTTCCATACGATGGAACCAATCATTGAAGCAACCTTTCCATTCGGAAGTTGGGGTCTCCAAAATGGCCGTTTTGTAGGCGTCCACAGCTTCTTCAGGTGATGAAAATCTCTGTCCACGCAATTTATTCTTTATTTTAGGGAAAGTATAGAAATCATTAGGGCTTAGATCGAGGCTGTACGGCGGATGGTCTAATAATTCTATGTTTTCTTGCTCTAAAAACTCTTTTGTTCTGTGTGCGGTGTGAGAACTCGCATTGTCGTGATGGAGGATGATGCGGCGGTTGCATTTCTCTTTACGGAGTTCAGAAACGACCTGTGGCAAACAAATGCTAGCATACCATTCTGCATTAACCGTTCTTTGTCCCTCAAGAGGAATAGTCGTAACATGGCCGGTTTTGGAGACAAACGTGGCCACCATTTTTTTTGCAACACTCCGTGAACGAATAATTTTTGTTGGCTTTCACTCATTTTCGAACACCCAAACTCGTGACTGGTTTTTTGTTTCGGGTTCGTACTATATCCAGGATTCAATGATAGAGTGTATATAGGAGGATCGAAGAGCCGCTTTTTGCTCTTCACAGAGCGAATGCGGTATCTATCGGGAAAACAATTTTTTTACACCTAATTGTTCATGCAAGATTATTTGTATTTGACTCATGCCAATGTCTAAAGTTGTCTGAATTTCGCGGTATGTCACATGTCGATCTTCCTCAAACAGCTTACGCACAGCATCAAAATTTTCTTGGGTGACTGCAGTTTTTGGATGACCTTGACGGGGATCATCACTGAGCTTGACACGTCCACGTTGAAATTCAGCAAAACAGCGATAAATTGTGATTTTGGATGGCGCTTTATCACCAAATGCATAAATCATCCGGTCAACACACTGTTTTTGTGTTAAACCACTTGGAAAGTCATAATAAATCATCGCTCTTGAATTTTCTCGAGTCAATTCCATTTTCTCAACGACTAAACAAGTTTGACAAAACCTTGTGATAAGACCGAGAATCTTTTTTTTAAATAAATAAATGGTATTCGATTTTTAAAAGCAAGGAGTTTTCAATTAAAAAGATTTTAATATGACAGGAACAGTGGAAATATTCCATTCCCGATATTTTAGTGCAGCCTAGTACTGTAGGGTTAGGTGTTGTGAGAAAACCAATTGAATCATTTGACATTAATTGGTAGTAGAATGCACCGAGATGTTATGCAATGTATGCAATGTACTAGTAATTTGCTGATAATAATAACATCAATGTTATTATTATCAGCAAATTGTTTTTGTTGTTAGGAAGGTTAATATGCAACATTTAGAAAAATTAGGATTATAACAACGTGAACGTCTTTGAAACTCAAATAATTTTTTCTTAAATTTACGCGAACACTACACATTGAATAAAACTAAATTTACGGATTCTCCAAAACGTCGGGAATTAAAAATAAGTAAAATCTGTTAAATGAACGCGATAGAATCCGTAAATTTAGTTTTATTCAAATAATTTACCTACGTATCGTTTTCTGTTTCACATGTTTTTTTTTGCTATTTCCAAACATGAGACACGCGATGGCTTTGTTAATGAAAGAGTGGCAATGGAAAGTGCTACTATTTTCAATCCCTTTTTTTATCGATCAAGTGTATAACCTATAAAAATAATAGAATATATAACAATTGGTACCAGTTATCTAGATATGCTACTAATATAGTAATAATATCTTAACTTTCGGTATTCTTAGGAACAGTAAAGAATGAAAAGTCGACATTCATATCGTTTTAAGCACCCATATGGCAGTACCTTTTGGTTTTTTGAGTGGTCATACTTGAATAAAAACTCAAACATCAAAAGTGCGTAAATACTTACAAGGAAAAAACTTGTACTTGTACTTTTTTGTTAACGTACGAGTAAGACGTGCGTTAGCCGGAGCTGACGCACGCCTTACGTTAGGCCCGTCTCACTCCGCGCCTTAAAGCGCGAAGCGAGACAGGCCTAGTTTGATTTAAAATGAAAAGGTTTATTAAAAACTAATTAGTTAAGATGCACGTAATAAAATACAATGATGTGTCTTACCTTTAAGAAAAGACCTTACTCCTTTCCAAAACGCTGTAAGCGCACCTGCAATTCGCCTGGTGTTGCAGATGTTCGTGGGCGACTGTGATCGTTTACCATAAGATGAGACGTATGCTTGTTGCCTCCTCTTCCAGACCTGGTTTGAAGAGCATCTCCCGCCCTCTTTCAATTGCGTACACTGTCCCCGACACCACTGAGGAACTCACTTAGCGGTCAGCCACTGCAGAGCCTACTTCACCTGAGGATGCTTCGTGTAGAGACGCAACATGTGTGGTATGGTGGCGTGTCTTACCTAGGGAAGTGGTGTTGGGAGTAGTGGTGCTAGGATTGGTGGTGACGGGGCTAGTGCTTGCAGTTGAAGGAGGGCCGGAGGTGCTCTTCAAATTAGTTAAGACACATCGTTTTATTTTATTACGCGGATTTAAGCTAATTCATTTTTAATATAATGAATTTCCGCAAAGTAACGCTTGATTCTATTAATTATGTTACAAATTTTAATTTACACTTTTTACATTTGTAAACTAGAGACATTATGGAATTAGTAAGCTGAAGTGGCAACGGACCGGCCATGGCCAAGAACCGACAACCGACGGGGAAGAAGTGTTTCCGAGTGGCAGCCTCGTACTGGTAGGTGAAGTAGTAACACGTGCAGGAAGTCGATGGATGCAGTTGGTTCACGACCGTGCTTTATAGCATTTCTTGGGGGAGACCGATGTTTAGCCGTGGACTATGATAAAACTAAAACTGATGGTGGGTTTTGTTCACGTTCCAGTTACAACAACATCACGAAGCTGGACGGCAGCCACATGGGCGACCTCAGCAATTTGGGCTGGTGCAACGCTAGCCACAACCTGATAGCGGACATACCCAGGTATGTTTGAGAAAATGCTTGTTCAAGAAAAGAGCTTACTCCTTTTTAAAGGGCCGGCAACGCACCTGCAATTCCCCTGGTGTTGTGGTTGATCATGGGCGGCGGTAGTCACTTAACATCAGGTGAGCCGCATGCTCGTTTGCCCCCCCCCCCCTTCTATAAAAAAAATGTTTAATTCTGTATATTTCCTGGGATTTTGTTGTAAAAGCGAATATTAATATTATAATAGTCTAAGTTAATATTATAATAAAAGGCTTAGTCAAAATTATAGCCGCAAATTATGTAGTGTGTAACGGGAATATTTTCAGGGGCATGTTCGCGAGGAACGCACTCATCAAGGTGGTCCATCTGGACAACAACAAGCTGAAGAAACTGGACACGAACAGCTTCAAGGGCATGAGATTCTTGCGGTGGGTAACACAATCGTCTGAATCGTTTTTCACTAAACTTTTATAGAATGGAGGCGACAAACGAGCACAAAGTCCACCTGATGGTAAGTGGATCCATATAGACTCGTTTCAAGTAAAAAGGGTCTCCGGTTCTCTACATATATGAAACAGAGCAGCATTAAGCTGTTATTTTACGCTGGTATTTTCTGAGAGCGTGGTCCTACTCAAGCTGACTCATTCGTGCAACAATTATAACATAGCTGTAGTGTGGTTCTACCACGTAAAAACTTAACGTTTCAAGTGCCGGTTTTGTTAAAACATCGTGTTACACAAGGAATTAGCGTTTTACTCCTGTCCTGTCTAGGATCCCGTTGGGGTAGGCAGCAGTGCGTTCGGTTCACTGCTGTCTTCTGTAGATTGTAGAGAGTATAATCACATACTGGTATCTTAGTCCTCGGAGGTGACAATGTAACTGTAGTTTGCTCTGTTTTTATTTTTATTTATACAACAAGTTACGCTTATAATACAAGCTTATAATATAATACAACGCTTCTAATACACATAATATATGACAATGTCGCAAAAACATAGACAATTTTTCCACTGTTTGATATGCATAACAATAACATAGTACATAGCATTCACAGATTGAGTTAGTGTTACGGCCTCTAGTTACCCGGGCAAGGTCGTGGGACCCGGGCCCATCAGGGGTTCCACTCGACGAGTAACAGGAGGTCGGCCTAAATGGCTTGTGGAATATTACACGTTAGCGGTAAAAAGGGAACCAACAAAACTTACCTATTTCTTCGAAGTAGGGTCAACCCTAGGAAGATTCAGGTGTAAGTGTGTGCGTGCTGGATTGTGTTGTGTTGTTAGTGTTCACTTGTGTAACCTGATATCCCCGCTGGTTGCAGAACAGCAGATCCGAGGGCATCTCCTCTTCATATATAGGATCCGTCTTAGGGGCAGGTATCCACAGTATCCCATCTTCTCAGAAACCATTTTCTTCCAACACCCATCAATTATTGTCCAATCGTCTTTAGATTCTAACCATCAAGTCCATCGAAGTTAATTATGGACACGCGGCAACTCAAGGACGGGGGGTCAAAGTTCAATGATACAGACCGACGTCGAACGAGCTCACACCGCGTCGATTCAATTGACGGTTTCTCCCAATACAATAAAGAGTCAAGCCTAGTTATCAATTCACTAACAAATATAAGATAACTCAAGATCGTCCCTTCGAAGCACAATTATATTAATCTTCAGAGCCGAACCGGGTAACGCCGCGCGTGCGCCGCGCGCTGAAGCGCGCGGCCCCGTCCGTCACGCCTCAATACCAACGGGCTACTCCACGCCCTGCACTCAGTATGCAGGTAGCCTCCCCCTCCCGCACCTCTGGTAGTCGTCGCTTCACCCCGCTCGATAAGACGACCTACTATCAGGCCTAAACAAGCCCCCGTCCCGGACATAACGACCTATGTCCGCGAGTAAATTGGCGACCGGGAGAGGGTCTCGATGCCACGATGCAAGACCGAATCTCCAACCAAAACCTCGGCCACTAACAAGATGGAGATGCGCTCTTGCAACGCCAACCACCGGCTCACATCACGGCCTCAGAGTGGGCAAACCGAAGAGTTGAATTTCCCCTGGATGCCCTTCTCGGACATCGCAGCCAACCCATAAGTCCTGTTGCAGGACAGAAATTCGACGACTTTCTTCAAATATCTACCAGTGCTCCTACAATCCGTTCCGCAGTCCGGCTGGATCCGGTCCGGCAACCGCAACGCGATAAGAAGCGACCCAGCGTAGCCACAGAACTTCAGTGCTGAGGGCACCGGCACGTTTCAAGCGAACGGCCCTAGTGGCGAGGCATACGAAAACCACAGATAGGCCCGATGTGAACGCGCGTGGCGCAGGTCGGAGGGCTTGACGAGGAGGGGGGCTAGCAAAGTCGGTTCCGACTCCAGTGGATGGTCGGATGAACCCGACGTGGTCGGATGGTAAGTCACTCATCATCGGCTGCGGTATAGGTGGCCCTCAATCCACCACAAAGTATGTTCACAGGAGTGACGCTCCAAATAGTGCGTCGGTCAGACAAATTCCAAAACTCCCGCCGCAAATTAACCGCATTCCGACGATGATGGTGAGTTATCAGCGACCAAGCACAATGATAAACACAAGCAAAATAAAACAAAAAAAAACACAAGGGCAAACCAAATTTTCCAACACAAATATCTCCGATAATGCCAACAAAATGTGATAACAAAGTATGGTTAATACTCATTTCCTTCGCACAAATAGTTACTCAATTGCAATTTTCAATTCTACAACAACATAATGATCCATATAGCCACAAAACATAGGTACAGTCATCCCAAAGGCATTTCAAATTACCTTTGTACCTACAACCGCTAACACACTATGAAACATTTCGCAGAAAAATAAACAAAGAAAAATTAACCGCTAATTACGCAACATTTTAGCGAAATAATTACTGCGAAAATTAACCGCTACAACTAACAAACTACAAAGAACAATATCGCTACAGTGAACATAACATTTCGCGTAAACCAAGCAAAAAAAAATTTTTTTTTTTTAAACATTCAAAGCTCCAAATGAGCCCTAGTCTCCCACCTAACCAATTGGAGGCTACACCGCGTTTGAGCCCGAATACAATAAAGCGCGAACCATGACAACATCGCAACTCGGGTGGTACACCTTCCCTGAGACCGTCGACAATAGAAGCGTTCAACAAGTGGGCTGACGACTCAAAGATCAATGGGGGCGGCCGTGGTAGGAGCCAGGGCGGCAGCCACCCAGTTGGAGCTGCCTACATCAGACCGGCACTAGAAGCGGGGCACAGTAGCCCACAAGAGAGCGCCGAGATCGCCCGACAGGGGACGTGACTAAACGTCCCCCCCGCCCGTGAAAGTCGGGAGCCCGGCAGAGCCCCGAGAAAAGCGCCGGTCGCACCCAGGCACGACACGGCTAGCTGACTGCCCTGGCCGTGCAATGACATCACTGTTAATAAAACTACAAAATAGAAACTACATGCCAATACAGTTGAATTGAGTCCATCAAATATCATCATCATGATATATCATCACATTATATATCATCATACCATCGACTTGAACTCAATACAAATTACTACAAATGCAAATTACTATTTATGAAATCAAAACAAATACACTACAAAATTAATCCAATTAATACAATCAAATTCACACAAATACAAAACGCTGTGGATAAATTATGTTCACCGCAACCTCATTAAATACAATATTGAACTTAAAGCGGAGGATACAAAAGAAAACACATCGTATAAATCGATTTGAACGCAAGGCACTAAATAACGGAATGGTTCCTCTAGACTGTAATCTCGTTCAATAAACTGCGCATCAGTACGTTATGATGCAACTTACTTTATTTACATTACGTAATTAAACCCTTCAAAAATTCTTCATTGCTTTATTTAACGTGTTCGACTCATTTGTTTCATTAAAGGAAGCTTAAAAAAAAATACAAATTTATATATTTAGTATACCTAACATAATCGACATTCCACACTGAAGGGACAAAAAACTCAATATCAATAATCATTTAAAACAAATAACAAGTTACAATTCTCTCAAAAACAGCTAACAAAATAATCAAAACCTATCAACAAAGTATCCCGCCTATAGGAAACCGTTGTGCGATCTTTAAACCTATCTACATCTTTACAACTTTTATTTATTTCTTTATTCAAAGTTAGATACACTTACGTTAACTACATCGAACACAATTACCACCCGCGAGTACTAACTACAGTCGGGCAACGAGACGCCAGCGAAGGCACCCAACTATCGAATCAAATCAATTAAACAAACAAATTACTACTCCACGAGTAATAACTACAGTCGGTTTACGAGACAACGCTAATTAATAATTATTACGCTAATAATTTAGCCGACAGTCCAAATGCAATACCAAATACACACGAACAATAACGATAATGCAATAATTCACCGAATTGCAATTGCCACGCTTATGTAGCAACGGTAATTATAAACCCTACTCGACGCGTGTACCTAAACCTAAGGTAAGTACCTAAACACTCCGCTTACGCCCGGCCACGGGCGTGGCACAAATTCTACCTACCACTAACAAAGTAAGCGACCAAAGAAAAGATACAAGAATTATTTTTATTACGTGGTTCTATACACCGATCCTATCCGCTCACAAATAACACGCGAACAAAATAAAATTATTAATACGTATTGCAACAAACACAACCAGCAGCCACGTGGTTACAACCGCTATCTTGCTACCAACTTACGTATTGCGCTGGGAGACTACGCTACTCCTACCAAAATGTTACGTATTGAGCTGGGAGTGGTTTCAAAACCCATCAGGAAAACCACGCTCTGCTACCAAATGTTACGGCCTCTAGTTACCCGGGCAAGGTCGTGGGACCCGGGCCCATCAGGGGTTCCACTCGACGAGTAACAGGAGGTCGGCCTAAATGGCTTGTGGAATATTACACGTTAGCGGTAAAAAGGGAACCAACAAAACTTACCTATTTCTTCGAAGTAGGGTCAACCCTAGGAAGATTCAGGTGTAAGTGTGTGCGTGCTGGATTGTGTTGTGTTGTTAGTGTTCACTTGTGTAACCTGATATCCCCGCTGGTTGCAGAACAGCAGATCCGAGGGCATCTCCTTTCATATATAGGATCCGTCTTAGGGGCAGGTATCCACAGTATCCCATCTTCTCAGAAACCATTTTCTTCCAACACCCATCAATTATTGTCCAATCGTCTTTAGATTCTAACCATCAAGTCCATCGAAGTTAATTATGGACACGCGGCAACTCAAGGACGGGGGGTCAAAGTTCAATGATACAGACCGACGTCGAACGAGCTCACACCGCGTCGATTCAATTGACGGTTTCTCCCAATACAATAAAGAGTCAAGCCTAGTTATCAATTCACTAACAAATATAAGATAACTCAAGATCGTCCCTTCGAAGCACAATTATATTAATCTTCAGAGCCGAACCGGGTAACGCCGCGCGTGCGCCGCGCGCTGAAGCGCGCGGCCCCGTCCGTCACGCCTCAATACCAACGGGCTACTCCACGCCCTGCACTCAGTATGCAGGTAGCCTCCCCCTCCCGCACCTCTGGTAGTCGTCGCTTCACCCCGCTCGATAAGACGACCTACTATCAGGCCTAAACAGTTAGAATGATGATGAATGAGAATTTTGGATTAATTTGTAGTAGGAATAGCAAAAATCCAATCAATACAATACGATGAGAAATTATTCTAGTGAGTTATGTACCCAAATAAGAAAAATGTGTTGAGAAAAAACAATAGCTAGAAGAGAACAAGGTACATTATACTCTCCTCATGAGTATGAAATTTTTTAAGAAAGTATAAAATAAATTCTTTTCTGATCATAGAGGCAAAACATGATTATATTTGGAAAAAAGTTAAAGTAACAGCCTATATACGTCCCACTGGTGGGCAAAGGCCTCCCCTCATTTCTGAGGGGGTTTTAGGGCAAGGAAGTGTCCGCCGCGCTGCCCCAATACGTGTTGGCGAACTTCACATGTCTTCGAAATATTTTTTTATTTCTCAGACATGCAGGTTTTTCTCCTCCTCGGCGGTGAAGGAAAATATCTCCTCACTATATTCTCCTTCACCGCTGGAATTGTATTGGTGCCGGCGGGGATCACACTTGGGGTGCTCGCGTACTGTGTAATTGACAACGACGGCTTAGCCCTTGAGCTACCATGGCTATATATGTAGGTGCTCGTCATATAACAAATATATAAAATTGTGACTTGCTTATGATTGTTTTTTCACTACTTATGGAGGTTCTTTTAAAAACAATTTTACTTACTTCATTTGTTTATACTTTGTATTTTTTTACTTATTTTATTTGTTACACTTGCTCTCCTGAACTACAACGGCTTTATATATGATTACTAAGGTTAATTTTAAAAGCAATATAAGAGTCGTTAGAAGCTGGTCCGGACTGGCGCCGTCAGGTGGGCTGGAACTTCATTAGTGACTTGTGTTTGAATAAAATAGTTTCTCCTGTACTGCGGAGGCCCTTTAATATACATTCATTACATATTTTGTGCAATTGTGGTTCTGTGGGATTTGTACCCGGGGTGCACAGCGTCGCCCCGGCACTACTCTAATCCATTAAACAAATAAGTTCTATGAGTAAATAATTCCTCCATCACCATGACTGTATTTATTTATTGGTTAAGTGTGACAAATGTCATTGCCACTGCTAAAAGAGGATTATATATGCAGCCACCTGCAAGTAGAGGCTACACGTGTATATTTAAGAAGCAAGTCAAGTAAAATAAGCTACTAATAATAACTAATGTTTATACTTGCTTCTGCTGGGCATAGGTTTTCTTCTCCGGTCAAATTAAACTCATTTTAAAATAAACCGCTCAAGATTACGTGACGTATGCCATAAAATGTGAAAACTAGATTATGCAACCAGTGCGTGTTGCTAGTGATGACATATGGATCTGACACATGGTAGTTAACTGCTGACTTTATGCGAGTGAACAAGGTCACTTAACGAGCTATGGAGAATAAAAGCTCTGCGTGATGGACTTAGAAATGAGGATAGCAGTAGAACCGGAGTAACTGACATAGGCCAACAAATCAGTAAGCAAAATCGGCAATCAGTTGGTTATATATCTCGGAGATCCGACAACCTATGGAGAAGAAAGGTTCTTGAGTAGCAGCGTTGTACTGGTAATGACCTGGCAAGAGATGCAGGAAGTCGATGTATGTAGATGGCTGAGGAACATGCTTTTAGCAATCCTTGGGAAGTGGGGGGGAGGTTCTATGTTCAGCTGTGGATCTGTGATGGGCTGTAATGATTGTGTTGACTGTACCGGCAAAGGGCTATGCTCGCACAGATTATTAGCGTGAAAGAGCTACATAATTCTAGCGTTGGTTTTTCGAGCTGTTCGGTGAGCCCTTTGCCACTTTAGTTTACTGATTCGTTGGGCTATATAAATTATAGCTGCCCGATGATATCGTTTGTGATGTCGCAGGCGCCTGCACCTGCAGGACAACCAGATCTCGGACGTGGGGCGCGGCACCTTCTCCGCGGTGACGCGCATCGGCACAATCGATCTCGCACGCAACTATATCAAGAAAGTCGACTTCCAGATGTTCCAGCAGATCAAGTACGCTGAGGTAAGAGAGATAGAGAGAAAGATAGAAAGCACTTTATTCACTTTGTTTACACACATGCAGTAAATAATATTCACTGTTAAACATATCACAATTGAGCGATATTTCATTAATACTTGTATTGAAAAGGAACTCCAGAGTTTATTGAAATATTAAAATTACAGCCTATCAAATGTCCTCTGCTGAACACAGGCCTACCCGGAGATCGCCTCGTACAGAGGACGTTGTCCTAGCTGGCCCACTCAGCAGGAGGCTGCCAGCGCAGTTTGTTGGCAGCGGTAACGCATTTACATGTTGGTTCCTAATCAAGGAGACAGATGTAGCTGTCTATGGGCCACAACATCCACTTACCACCTAGTGGGTTTTGTGCACCTTTGTCACTCTTATTCGATAAAAATGGCTTTAATAAAAATAAAAATGTCGACATTGTATTAAAATAGGATTTTCTAAAAATAAAACTTCTTCAGGTTAACTTCTCGGCACTGTAGGTCAATTTACAAGAGATAAATTATTTGTATTGGTTTTATTGTCATTTGTATAACAACTGTTTGCTGTTAAAATTAATTAAATAGAAAAAAATTGTAAAATGTATCAGTATTAAAGGCCGCATCTGCAACTATTATCCTTAACCAAAATGAGATTATCAATATCTCCTTGTGGGATAAGGTTCCAGGTTCAACAAAGATGAAAGTCCGATGTCAGTTACCAGATTCTAGAAAATTTAGTAAAGCCTTAAATATTTATAACTAAAAAAAATCGCAATGTTCTCATTCAAATGTTCAAAATTCAAATTCAAATTCATTTATTTGCCAGAATGTATGTGTACAATAAAGTATGATCTTAAATTATGTCTAACGGCCCATTTACATTCTGCCACTTTATATGGTGTGCAAATCCATACTAATATTATAAATGCGAAAGTAACTCTGTCTGTCTGTCTGTCTGTCTGTCTGCTCCTCTTTCACGCCTAAACGGCTGAACGGATTTTGATGAAATTTGGTATGGTGATAGATGATAACCTAGAAATGGTCATAGGCTATAAATAATCACGCCATCGTTCTTAGGGGGTAGGCAGTAGGCAGATAACTAAATTGAGTTAGTGATTTTTGGTCGTTTTTGTTGGGACTTTTGCTCTTTCACGTATAAAAGGCTGAACAGATCTGTAAGGTAATAGATGGTTACCTAAAAACGGATATAAGATCAAAATGATCACGTCATAGTACTTAGGGGTAGGAAGTAGGCAGAAAACTGAATTGAGTTAGTGATTTTTTTATGGTTTTTGGTGGGAATTTTGCTCTATCATGCCTAAACGGCTGAACGGATTTTGATGAAATTTAGTTAGGTGATAGATAGTAACCTAGAAAAGGATATGGGCTATTAATATTCATGCTATCGTACTTAAGGCGTAGGCAGTAGGCAGAAAACTAATTAAGTTAGTGATTTTTAATAGTTTGGTTTAAAAGTTTACCTCATTCACGCCTTAACGTCTGAACGGATTTTTATAAGACTTGGTTAATATAAAGATAGGATCCTAGACACGGACACAGGCTACTTCTTACGGCGGGAAAATACCTCATTCCCGCGGAAATCTAGCGTGATCGTGTCAAGAAGCGAATGACGCCATAGCTACTGAAATGATTTTGATGTTTTTTTTTAAATGAGTGTTACTAAGACTTAAAGTTAGTATTTGATCACTTTTCTAACTTAGAGGGTCGGTAGGCGCCATAATTTAGGGAATTTATTATAAAATTTTGATGCATCTGTCTTTATTTAACAGTTTTACTTGGATCGAAACTTAGCGACATACCATCACACTACTTAACTTATAGGGTAGGAAGGTACCAAAATTCAGACTACTTTTTACTTCGGGAAAATATCTCATTCCCACAGGAACCTATACACAGCTACCTATCTACAACATTAAAACTCTGTCTAGAATCACATTACGCCATAGCTATTGATCTGATTTGTATACGATTTTTTATTCAACTGACTGTTAAATTACATACAGATAAAATCTAATTACCTACACCACAGAATTAATATAGTACTACATAACTAGCTACGCTTTAAACTTGAGGAGGTAATTAGATAGACATTTATACGAACTTTATGCTCAGTAATCAATCATAGTGATAAGTTAATACTCATTTTAGACAAAGAAACGGATAGGTAATCAGTTCATCACCGAAATTATAACACCTACACTTAGTTTGTTTACTATTCAACGAGGGAAAATAATTCAATATAACGCAAACCTTCAAATCATACGTCGTCGTAGTGAATACAAGACGCTGCGCCGAGCGAAGAGGCGGTGCGACGCGAGGGGGAGGGCCGTGCCCAACTGTGCCTACCCAAGCGGGCAGACGCACGAGGGCAGACGTCGTCGTCGCACGTATGCGAATATTGAAATATTGCGTTACGAAACTCTATTCGTTGCGTATTTTTGGTTAGCTAAAAACGTTCTTTTTAAATTCAGAGTTGAAATAGGTACTACGGTCTACGCGTAGGGTCTGTAAGCTTTAATTTAGTCCTTTGTTTTAGATATCTAAATAAATATTTGGTAGGTTATTATTTTTGAGTCCAAGTTGACGTCATTTTCGTATTTTTATTAAGTACTTAGTTACATTTTTATTATTAGGTAGTTAAGGTAGCTGTTAGATGTAGGTATTTTCTTAACCAATCATTCATATCTCTAGGTTTACTCAGATACGTATTATTCTTTATTTTTGCAGTCGCTTTCATTTGTTAATTCTCAATTTTATTCATGTGTAGGTTAAGTGTTTTTTAGCTCACATCAGGATGTTTATAGTTCGTAGTAAATTAGTTTAGTAATAGATTTTGTCATTATATTATAGTACTTTTATGTTAGTTTTGATAGATAAGTAGGTAGTACCAGTAGTGAAGAAAATTGTGTATTGTGGTGTGGTACATAAATTCAATATTTTTGAATTTATTTAGTTAATTTAGGTTTTAGGTATAAAAGGTTTGTCAGGTGCATAGTTGTTTCGGTTCAATACGTTATTGATTGATTTAGATATTTAGGTTATAAGTAAAAAAAGTTTGCTTTATCGAAGTTTTTATAAAAAATTGTCTTACGTTGTAGTTTTTAAAACTACCGATTTTACAAATCTTTAATTATTGTTTTATTGTTTTCGATATGCCACGCAAACGTAAATCCAATCTAAGCCGTAGTTCTAGCAGAGCTCGAACTGCAAAAGTTGCTAGAAGCCAAGAATCTGAAGAGCAGACTCAGACGCGTCAGATGTTAGATTCTCAGCGTCATGCGACTCAAAGAGCTTCTGAGACCTATACGCAGACTCAAGCCCGTAGGACCTTAGATGCTGAGCGCCACGCATCTCAAAGGGCCTCTGAGACGTTTACACAGACTCAAGCCCGTCAGGCCCTAGATGCTGAACGCCACGCATCTCAAAGAGCCTCTGAGACGTTTACGCAGACTGAGACCCGTCAGGCCCTGGATGCTGAACGCCACGCATCTCAAAGGGCCTCTGAGACCTATACGCAGACTCAAGCCCGACAAACCTTAGATGCTGAGCGCCACGCATTTCAAAGGGCCTCTGAGACGTTTACGCAGACTCAGGCCCGTCAGACCCTGGATGCTGAACGCCACGCATCTCAAAGAGCTGCTGAGACAGTGGAACAGACTCAGACACGTCGAGTTTTAGATGCCGAACGTCACGCGCAATTGATTGCGGCAGAGACTGACGAAGATTCACAAAGACGACGTCTTTTAAATGCTGAACGGCAGGCAGAAAGAAGACGTACGTTTTCAATGAGTACGTGGGAGGCATTTAATGGTGCCGCTTTTGAGTATGACCCTTTGATCGACTATGTTAATCACCGATTAGTTATCATTGGGAGAATGGATAAAAAATGCAGATATTGTGAAGCACTGAAATGGAAAGAAGAAACTCCAGGTATGTGCTGTTCTGGTGGAAAGGTTAAAATTCCATTACTTGGCGAACCAGAGGAACCTCTTAAATCTTTACTTTTATACGACAGTAACGAATCGCGCCGGTTTTTAAGCAGGATTAGAAAGTATAATTCTTGCTTTCAGATGACGTCATTTGGTGTAGATAAGGAGGTCGTAATGCCTGGATTTTCACCTACTTTTACCATCCAAGGACAGGTGTATCACAGGATTGGTTCCTTACTTCCCGCAAATAATGAACAACCAAAGTTTTTGCAACTTTATTTCATGGGCGATGAAAAAAACGAAGCTGATCGCAGGTGTCAAAATATACAAGGAATCGAAAGGGATACTGTTTTAAAAATCCAGAGAATGTTGCATGAACATAATCGCCTTATCAATACTTTCAAAACAGCACTAGAAAGAATGCCGGGAGAGGATTATAGGTTGGTGATGCACCCCGATCGCACACCAAGTGGGGAACATGAAAGGCGGTATAATGCACCGTTAATAAATGAAGTCGCAGCCTTGGTTACAGGCGAACAGTTTGCTTTCCGTGATATAGTTTTACAGGCCCGAGATGACACATTAACCAGGGTGCCTGATACTCATAAATTTTATGATGCGTTGCAATATCCGATCATATTTAGTAAGGGACAAGAGGGGTACCACTTTCAAGTTCCTCAAATTAATCCTGTAACAGGTCTTCCCTTGCATAACAAAAAGGTTTCATGCATGGATTTTTATGCCTACAACATGATGATACGAGAAAACAACTTTAACATTGTACAAAGATGCAAGCAACTGGCCAATCAGTTTTACGTTGACATGTACGTTAAAGTTGAAAGCGAGAGGTTACGGTACATATCATTAAATCAAACTAAACTAAGAGCAGAGAATTACATCCATCTTCAAGACGCTGTGGCAAATGACGCTAATTTAAATCCAAATAACTTAGGTCGTATGGTCATTTTACCATCTTCATTTGTAAATAGCCCGCGGTACTTACACGAATATACTCAGGACGCGTTTGTTTATGTGCGTACACATGGTCGCCCTGACTTATTCGTCACCTTTACTTGCAACCCAGCCTGGCCCGAAATAGTCAATCAGTTGATGCCGGGGCAAAGCGCAATAGATAGACATGATGTAGTCGCAAGAGTTTTTAGACTAAAAGTTAAAAAACTAATGGATGTGATTAATAAAGGCCGAGTGTTCAGAGAAGTGCGCTGCTTTATGTACTCTGTCGAATGGCAGAAACGTGGACTGCCACATGTCCATATATTATTGTGGTTAAAAGATAAGTTACGACCCGATCAAATAGATAACATAATCAGCGCTGAAATACCGGATCCTAACATTGACAAGACTCTCCATGACATTATTGTAAAAAATATGATTCACGGTCCATGCGGACCCGAAAATCCACAGTGCCACTGCATGAAAGACGGAAAATGCACAAAAAAATTTCCTCGCAAGTTAGTGAAAGAGACCGTTCACAACGACCACGGATACCCGCAGTATCGTAGAAGAGCGCCAGCAGACGGAGGTCGAACAGCAACCGTGAAGCTCCGAAATGGTAGCTACGTTACGGTTGATAATAGTTGGGTAGTCCCCTATTCACCAATTTTATCAAAAATGTTTAACGCCCACATAAATGTTGAGGCATGCAGTTCAGTACGCGCCATCAAATATATTTGCAAATATATAAACAAGGGTAGTGATCAAGCTATTTTCAATTTTAGAAATACTGATCTTGTGAATCCCGTAGATGAGGTACAAACTTATCAGTCTGGTCGGTATGTCAGCAGCAACAAAGCCGTGTGGCGTCTGTTAGCATTTCCGTTGCACGAAAGGCATCCCACCGTGACACATCTCAGCGTGCATTTAGAAAATGGTGAACGCGTTTATTTTAATGAACACAATTTCCACGAACGAATAACTACTCCGCCAAAAACCACACTCACTGCTTTTTTTGATCTTTGTATCAGAGATGAGTTTGCAAAAACTCTTCTTTATGTCGAGGTGCCGAGGTATTATACTTGGGATGCAAGTAGGAAAACTTGGAAACGCCGCATTCAAGGTACTTCAGTTCACGATTGGCCTGGCGTCAAATCTGGAGATGCTTTAGGACGAGTTTATACAGTTCATGTTAGTAACATGGAATGTTTTTGTCTACGCATGCTTTTACACCATGTGCGCGGACCTACCTCTTTCAATGATCTAAAAAAATACAACACACAAGATTATCCTACATTTCGAGAGGCATGTGAGGCAAGAGGATTACTGGAGAATGACAACCATTGGGATGTGACACTGGAAGAAGCTGCTCAATGTAGATCAGCAGGCAAGATGAGAGAGCTATTTGCTGTATTAGTAGCGACATGTGGTCTTTCAAATCCTCAACAATTGTGGGATAAATACAAAAATGATATGACCGACGATATATTGCACAGATTACAAGAGCAAAATCCCAATGTCACGTACAGTGATTTAATTTACAATGAGGGTTTGACAAAAATTGAAGACCAGGTTAAAACAATTTCTGGAAAGGATTTATCAGATTATGGAATGATCAGACCACAGAGAACCGAGGAAATCAGTAGCGATTTAATACGGGAACTAGATTACGATACTGCTTCCTTACAACAACAATTGACAGAGTCTGTTCCACGTTTGATCCCAGAACAAAGGTTAGTATTTGACAATGTTTTCAAAAAAATCGAAGATGGCGAAGGTGGTTTGTTATTTTTGGATGCTCCCGGAGGCACGGGAAAAACCTTTCTTTTAAACTTGCTTTTAGCGCAAATCCGAAAAGATAAAGGAATTGCTGTAGCAGTTGCCTCTTCCGGAATAGCCGCCACTCTGCTCAATGGTGGTCGAACGGCACATTCGGTGCTTAAACTGCCATTAAACTTAGCCCATGAAGAAATGCCAGTCTGTAATATAAGTAAAAACAGCGAGCGTGGACGTATGTTGCAGCAATGTAAATTATTAGTTTGGGATGAGTGTACTATGTCCCATAAAAGAGCAATTGAAGCTCTAGATCGGACTTTGAAAGACATCAAGAGTAATCCAAATATCATGGGGGGGGGATGGTGGTACTTTTAGCGGGCGATTTTAGACAGACTTTGCCGGTTATCACTAAAGGCACCCCTGCAGATGAAATAAATGCGTGTTTAAAAGCGTCAACGTTATGGGTGCACGTAAAAACGTTTAGTCTGTCTACAAATATGAGAGTGCAACTACACAATGATGTACAATCTGGACATTATGCTGCTGCTCTTCTTAAAATTGGAGAAGATCGTATGGCAAAGGATGGTAATGGCATGATTACATTGGATCGTGAATTCTGCAATGTTGTGCATAATCCAGATGATCTAAATAACTTCGTCTATAGCGAACTGCTAACTAATATGAGGAATAGAGACTGGTTATGTGAAAGAGCAATTTTAGCGCCGACGAATGAAATGGTGGGACAGATAAACGAGCAAATTATGTCACGCGTGGAAGGTGATATTGTTGAGTTTCTCTCTGTAGACACTGTAATGGATACTGAACAAGTAACATCATACCCTGTAGAATTTCTTAATTCTTTAGAACTGTCGGGAGTACCTTCACACAAACTGAGGCTGAAAGTAGGCGTTCCTGTCCTTTTAATGCGGAGTTTAGATGCACCAAGACTGTGTAATGGCACACGGTTGCAAGTGACACACCTCGGTCGCAATATTGTAAAAGCAATCATTATGACTGGAATGGCAAAAGGAGAGAACGTTTTAATCCCCCGTATACCCATAATTCCGACAGATTTGCCATTCCAGTTTAAGAGATTACAGTTTCCGCTGAAAATCGCATTCGCTATGACGATAAATAAAGCTCAGGGGCAAACATTAAAAGTAGCCGGCATTAATTTAGAAAAGAGTTGTTTTTCTCACGGACAATTATACGTGGCTTGCTCACGTGTTTCAAGTCCACAGAATCTCCATGTGTTGGCCAGAGAGGGAAAAACAAAGAACATAGTTTACAAAAATGTACTACAGTAATAAGGCCTCTTATTGTTAGCTTCCTACATTATTATACTACTTACATTAAGTTAGTACTTCCTACGCAGACGATGTTACGGATGTCACACTGTCTAACATCGGGGGGTTGGCAGGTAGGTAGTTAGTAGTATTTTAAACCGATTTACATTATTTACTTTTTATATTTACTAAGGAAACATTCGGAGCTATCCATTATGTAGCTTAGGTTGCTTTTGAACAAATTTTGATGTGAAGTTGAGGACTGGAACACGATAGTGGGACATTGTTGCAGGGGGACTTATAGCCGGGAGAAAACAAAAAAACTTATGCGGACGAAGTCGCGGGTAAAAGCTAGTATTATTATATAGCTATACATGCAAAAAAAATTTAAACAACAAGTGGGAAGTCAATTTCGTACATTTATGATTGATTCAGTTTCATATGATATATGATATATTCAGTTTGTAATTAATTAATTATTAGATATATATCAATATTACTGACTTCAGATTTATTTTCCACAAATAGACATACATTCATTTAGGTCGTAAAAACATTTTTCTTTTAACCGTTGTATCCACTTATTTTTAAACATGGTTAAAGGTAACTCTTTAAAGTCGTTGGGTATTTTGTTATATACCTTTATAGCATTTACGTAAGAGTTCCTTTCATACAATTTTAGCCTGCATTGAGGTAAGTATAATTTATGTTTATTTCTAGGAGCTACATTTCGTTCAGTTATATCTATATGCCTTTCAAAGTGTTCAGGATGTTGTTTTACAAATATACATATTTCTTCCAGATAATAAACTTGGCGGAGAACAACATAACGATGATCGATAAGCAGGCCTTCACGGACCTGTACCAGGCTGTCGTGAACATCTCCCACAACCAGCTGACGAAGATCGAGTCGGGCGCCTTCCAGAACTGCAACAACCTCACCGCGCTGGACCTTAGCCACAACCATCTGTCCAACGTGACTCGGTTCGCCTTCGACGAGAACAGCTATGCATCACTCTTTGACGTCTCTTACAACCGCTTCACGGATTTTAACCAGGTAAGTTTATAACTTTGAATTCTTTCCTGAGTTCTAGTCTTTTGAAAACTTTACACCCACAGTTTACATACTTATGTACATGATGGAACTACGCTGTAGCTATATTATGGTTGTAGCACGAATATCCGAAAAGGAAAATGCTCTCAATAAATACCAGCAGCTGAATGCTGATGTCACCGTTATTCTATATAAAAAGGCTTATGTTTGCGCCACTTAGTTCAACTGCCTCTGGTACAGTGCCATCTCGGCTCTAAACGTTGATTACGTGGTAGAGCCATGCTGCAGTTATATTAGTAGTATAGTTGTAGCACGATTGGGTCGGGTCGACCGGGGAAGGATCACAGAATACCAGCGTGAAATAGTAGCTTAATGCTGCTGTATTTCGTATGGTGAGTGTAGAGAACCGGATACCCTTTTTACTGGAAACGAGGCATTCCATCTCAGTCCTCACGGGTGACAACGCATCTGCATTTTGATTTTTAATGGAGGATAGATGTAGATGTCTATGGGCCGCAGCAACCACTTACCATCAGGTGGAATGTGTGCTCGTTTGTCACCCTATTCTATATAAAAAAAATCTGCATTTTGATTCGTAATCGAGGTTGAATGTAGATGTCTATGGGCCACAGAAACCACTTACCACGCTCCTTAGATGAGAGGATGCTAAAGTATCTACGAATGTAGCATCTCACACTAGGCTTTACTTCTTTCCTAAGAAACGAAAGTCATACCTTCAGGTCTTTTGCCATCGTCTCTAAATATTCCACGAAGCTCTAATACCGAAGGGGTATTTATATACACAAGAGCTCGTCGAATAACATCGTTTAGAAAATCGTGACGGGACAATCTACCTTTGTTACCACAAGGGGTTTTGTATAAAATCCCCCTTCCGCTAAGATTTACGTACGGGACCTTATACATTTTTTATAGCATTGGGTGACGAACGAGCACATAGTCCATCTAATCGTAAGTGGATGCTGTGGTCTATTCATTTTCAATTAGGAATCAAAAAGCAAATGCGTTGTCGCCCCTGAACTAAAACGGAATGTTTCGATTCAAGTAAAAAGTATTTGCGGTTCTCTACATTCACTATAAAAAACACGACTGAATTACACTTCTATTTCACTCCGGTATTCTGTGAGAGCGTGGTCCTGCCCCATACGAGCCGACCCATTCGTGGTACAACCATAATATAGCTGCAGCGTGGCTCTACCACTTAAAATACGTATATAAATTGCACGTTGACAAACGTTCATTTTATACCACCCCGTTGCTGTACGTTTTACGAAAGACGTGCAAACCATTAAGTTCGCAATTGTGGAATGTTGATAACAAAGGAGTGGCAGGGGAGAAAGACTAGAGCAGACGTAACGCCGGACTTTTGGTCGTTTAATGGTGAAAAAAGAACGAAAGAATTAAGTCATGTTTCTCTCCAACTACTATGTTCACTATGTATATATAGGAAGATATTATAATGTAGATATTATGGAAACCTTTAATCCCACTTCTGATGTACGATATTTGAATATGTAGAGCAAGAAAGACTTTAGTATTTCTACCATTGTTTCGTAAAAGATCCTGGGAAGAACCAGAAAGAAACCCAGCGACTCTTCTTTTAAATAGAGTTAATTTACAATATGTATCAATTTTTTACTGGTTTTACGGCTCTGGGTTCTAGCTCTTCTGAGCCTATAATTTCTTTTGGAATTTTCATTTTTATATATTTTTTCGTCACAATATGCTGATACGTCACATTGCGAAGATCTTGGGAGATTTTGACGAAAGCTCAACCCAGCGGACGGTTGAAGACGACAGCCACTCAAGCTCACAGGGCGCCCAAGCGATCAAAATAACTTGAGGTTTATATCGACATCAAAGCACTTGTTTCTTAGATTTCTCTAATAGTTCACACGCGAGGATACTTAATTCACAAAATCGCATCACTTTTACGGATCAAAATCCACTTCAAACTATTATTCAAGCGACAACCCACTCGCATACGGTTCACCAGTTCCCATTCCTCCAGATGGATACCAAACTTGGTGACACAAGCCAGAACGATATGTGTTAAGTTTTCCCCTCTCTCTGAAATGCCACTTAATTCTACGTCATTTGAAAGCAGCTCTTATGCCCTATCATTTAAGTCGCAACTGGTGAACGTTGACTAGTTTCAGTATTTCATTTTTAAATCCTTGAGAGCTATATTACTCTAGTGGTTAAAAAATAGTCTGTATTCTGTTATCCAGCTTACTTAAACGAGCATCTCTCTCATCTCTGAATACCCGAAATTCTTCTGGTATCTGACGCATCTCTTCTCGAAAACATCGCAATTCCTCTGTTAGGTTTGAAACCTCATTGGTATTTGCAACGTTTACTGCTAAATATTTTGCCACCGCTTTATCCTTGTTCTATCGTTTTTCTTTTAATTTGCAGTCAAGGCAAGCCCAGGACGGCATTAGTAAATTGCCCACTGCATTGCCTACACACGCACGATGTAGCTGCTTACTGCACTTAATAGAAATATTATTTTCGCCATCTTGTGATGACATATTCACCGCACGTACTGCACTTAACCACCATGATCAATAAGGTTTAATAATTAATAAAGCTAAATACGTTGATGTATTAGTATACAAAAGAGGTGTTAGGTAAAGCTGTATTGATCAGTATTATATGCATTGAATTATATATTACTAGCATAAGGACCGGGCCGACCGAACAACAAAAACGGGCCAGCGCGTTGGCCCTAAAATTATAGTTCCCGCAATCGGTCGACAGTAGTGCGCGCGCATGACAGATTTGCCTGTCATAAATATGTCTAGTTGCATGGTAAAAGAATGCAAAAATTACAATACAAATATTAAAAAGGAACATGGGATATCGTTACATCAATTAAGTTATTATATAATCGCATTTTTAAAGTTTTATTTTACAGTTAGTTCAGTTACGTTACCAAGATTAGGCCAGGGTTGGATTCAGACCCACAAAAATATTGTACGTGGAAAATAAAATTATACTATTTAAAAAAAAATTATATCACGTTTGACGTTTCATGTTTCATTTTTCCCATGTGTCGGGATTTTGGCGTCATGCGTCTAGTTTACCTATAAGTTTCGGTTTTTGACGGTTTTATTTATATTTTTGTTTAATTTTGCCTAAAGAACTCAGTGTAAGTTAAATTTTGAATATTGGTACCTAGTATATTTTATATTCAATCAATAAATATAATAATAAAGGTAAAACGAAAAGAGTACAAAAGAAACCATATCTGCTTAATTGAATCTGAAAATATGATTCATAAAATATTTTGAAATTCTGTTTTCAAACCGATTGCTTCTGGTGAATAGAGTTTTTATCGTGGTAGCCCCACATTATAGTTGTATCAAGGATGCAACATAAATGCATCGATCGAGCATCGATTGACTAGAAATGGAACTAATTCTAATTTTTTTTTAAACGCGGTACTCATGTACAATACAGAAATACTCGATATCGTAGGGTTAATACTAAAATGTAAAAGGAAAATTATGGTATTTTTGCTTATTATTATTACGATACTATGTACTATAAACTATGAAAACAATGCTACAATTAGGATAATTATACTACGAAATCCGACCCTGGTTTCTTCGTGTTTTGATATGACGTTTGTATTATGACAGATGCGTTACTTTTTCTTGAATGAAAAAGTTATGAGTAAAATATTTAGATAGGCCTACCCTTCCTTTTGAAATCATTGATTATATGACGGTATTATGTGATTATTATAAATGTATCTATCTACTATTATCATCATCAACATCGTTACAGCCCTTCACAAGTCCACCGCTAGACATAGGCCTCCCCCAAGGAATGCCACAAAACACGGTCCTGAGCCACCTGCATCCATTCACTTCCTGCAAGTCTTACCGGGTTTTCACTCCATCTACTGGGGGCACGCCCTACACTTCGCCTGCCGGTACAAGGCTGTCTCTCGAGAACCTTTCTTTCCCATCGGTTATAGGTTCTTCGAGCTATATGGCCAGCCTGTCGCCACTTTAGCTTACTAATCCCTCGGGCTATGTTGGTGTTTAGGCATAATTGTAACAATTTGCAACTCGCTACGGCGTGCGTCTCGAGCGGGGAACCGGTTTGACGTCGGGGCCGAGGGGCAGGGTGTGCGGCCGGAGGTCTAGAACGATCTTAGTGAGCGAGCCGTGTCGATTAGAGGTCACGAGTTTTGATAAGAATTGCCGCGTCGAATAACGACAGCCTCCCTGGTGTTGTAATTTGTCGTTAATATACGTGACAACGAGGCTTTATTGAGTTTTGATTGACTATTTTAACTTCGATTGCTATTAATTTGCGTCGACGAGTGGCTTGTGTAGTTAATTAAAGTTAAAATAAATTAGTTAATATTGTACGAAGGAATTTTGCTTTCGTGTGGAACGTTAAACTTTGTGGTCCGGAAATCGCGTTATCTGAGATTATAGTTTGTGCTAAGTGACGCTAGACTTGAGTTCCGATAGCCGCTAACGCCCTCTGGAGTGATTGCACAAGTGGAGCTGGGCAGCGGTTCTGCTATCTGATTATATCGGTGACGTCAGGTTACATTATACACTTTCCTACGCCACTCACAGATATCATTTACTTGCCCTTGACGACGCCTTGTGGTCGACCCTACACTCCGGAATTCAGTAAGTTTGTGTTTGCTTATACAGCCGTTATAAATTAATTATCCATTGGCCATCGGGCCCTCCCCTCTGTTGCTCGTCGAGTTGGAGTACTGATGGTCCCTATTCCGGTCAACTTTTGTCGGGGTAACTGAAGGCCGTAACAGTTGGTCTCTCTGGTTCTACTGCGGATATCCTCATTCCTAAGTTTATCACGCAGAGAAACTCCGAGCTTAGCTTCCTCATACGACCAGCAGTGAAGGATCTCATCTCAGATCTAAAGGTCATTTCTGGCAACACACACTGGTTGAATAATCTAGTTTTCAGGTTTTGAGATATGCCTGACGAGGAGAAATGTGATCTCGACTGCTGCCCAGCCGAGTTAAATCCTTCGATTGACTCTAAAGGAGGCATCATCAGGAGAAATAAACTGCGATGACTAACCGCTAAACTTAAAGTCTGTTCACTAACAAGTCTTTTGCGCTTCGTTTTAAACTCCTGCGGGTGTACGCCGCACGTGGCGACCTTTGATGTCGCGGCGGCGCCTTTGATAAAATGCAGCACGTGCCAAGGCGAACGTATCTAAGCGAACAGGCTATACATTTAGTACAGCGGATCATCAATCCGCATGCGTGTATTTCATTCTACAAATAGTGCATATCTTTACAGATTCCAATACACAACATGTCGGGCATCATGGTGTTAAACGCAACCTTCAACAACATCACGGAGATCCCCAAACTGGCGTTTCCCAAACTGTACGAGCTGCACACCGTAGACCTGTCCCATAACAATATCTCCGAGATAGGGAATGCGGTGTTCCAGAACCTGTTTTCACTAAGGTAAGTGTTAATGATTGGTATCGAAAGAGAACTTGATATTTATAATTTATTGCAATAGTATTTTAATAAATAATTAATATAGTATTTCACATGGTAGAACCACGCTGCAGCTTTATTATGGTTGTAGCACGAACGGATCAGCTCAACCGAGGTACGACCAAACTTTTACAGAATACTAGTGTAAAAAAGCAGTTTAATGCTGCTGTGTTTCCTATGGTGAGTGTAGACAACCGAGTCCCTTTTTACTGAAAACGAGGCATTCCATCTTAGTCCTCAGGGGCGACAACACATCTCCATTTTGATTTTTAATCGAGGATAGATGTAGATGTCTATAGGCCACAGCATCTCCTTATTATCAGGTGGGTTGTGGGCTGGTTTGTCACCCTTATTCTATAAAAAGTTAACTTAGTCTAGTCGTTGTATTTGCGTGCAGATACTTGAACCTGTCGCACAACTCGCTGGAGCGCATCAGGCCTGCATCGTTCGGGTCGGTGCCGACGGTACTGGAGCTGGATCTGTCGCACAACTTGTTGCGCGACATATCGCGTGGCGCACTCTCCAAGCTGGCCAGCTGCCGGACCATAGACGTCTCGCACAACCAGCTCGACAGGATCTTCCAGATCCCCATCAGTTTGGCGTAAGATGTGTCTTTATTTAAATTTAAGGTAAAGTACAGGCGGCCCCCCACTAGATGGAGTAGCGATTTGGTGAGAAATGCAGGAAGTCGACGGATGTAGGTGGCTCGGTACAGTGCTTCGTGACATTCCCTGGAGGAGGCCTGTGTTCAGCAGAGGACTTGTGATGGGCCGAAATGGATGAATGAACGAAAGTAAAATTAATAAATTACTTTAATGAGCGTGTTGTGCTCATATATAATTGAATTGGAATTGAATTTTGATATTTTACTATTGACATCTCCGTAACGTGTAACAGTGACTTAACAATGAGTTCCGGTACTTGGACCGCGGGTTTGAATCCCACACAGAACAAGTATTTGTATGGCCTATAAATAATTGTTTCGTGTTGTTTGTCCTAATGATTTTTTTTTATATAAACTGCCTCTACGATACAGGAAAAATCATAGTACGGAGGTAACGTTTTTTTTAAGTAAAAAATTCGATAACTATTGGTAATAATACGCTGACGTGTGTTCGGTCGAATTTAATAATTGATTTTTAATTAAGTTCTCACTAAGTTAAAGACTTGACATTTTGAACACAGCACAGAATCGACATGACAAGAAAAAATGACAATTAGCTAGTTTTCATTCTAATGAATGAAAATTAATGAATACTATCGTAAAATAGCAGCTTAATGCTGCTGTATCATATGGCGAGTGGAGAGATCCGGAGACCCTTTCTACTGTTTTTTTTTTTTTTTTTATAGAAGAGGGGGCAAACGAGCATGTGGCTCACCTGATGTTAAGTGGTTACGAGACATGTTTTCAGTTTTCGATTCTTAAATTTAATTAAAATTTTAATGTATTCGCATTCGAACAAACAATTTTATCAAGAAAAAACGAGGTAAACATAAGCATGGCCGTCATTTGTATTCAATTTTACTTAGTAACTCATATAACTATAACAGTAATTCACCAATCTAAATATTATATTTTTCTAAAGCGGCACTTAAAATTAGTTGAATATGTACTATAAAAACACGCTCACGTCAACCGCATGTATTGTCTATCAGACTCAAAGAAGTGTGCTAGCATAAAGTCGGCCAGCCTCCTTCCCCGCAGTACCACCACCGTTGCTTTGCACAAGTAAGTTCGTTTCCCAACTGCAAGGTCTTTAAACTGTGGTATTATCTTTGGTGCGCTTCTATTTTTAATGCTTATATAGGCGTGTTTCGTGAAAGCTCGTTAAATAAATGATTTAAAAGCGCTGTTTTTATAGAATAAGTATGACAAACGAGTACACAGTCCGCCTGATACTAAGTGGATACTATGGGCCATAGATATCTAACTATCCAATTACGAATTCAATTGTAGATGCGATGTCACCTTCTCTGTACTCACCGTCGAAAACAGCACTAAGCTGCTATTTTACGCTGGTATTCTGTGAGTGCGCGGTGCCTCCCCGGACGAGTCGACTCATTCCCGGCTACAACTATAATATAGCTGCAGCATGTCTCTATTACGTGTAAAAAAGATCAAGTTTACTTATGATAAGTTTAGTTAAATAAGGCAGTGAGCTGATGAGGATAATCTTTTGCAGCGAACCAAAAGATTTTTTTAAATGAATAAGTCCATAGACTTTCAGTTTGTGCCCTAGATTATTAACAAAGATCGTGAACTCATAGGCTAGCGTAGAGTAAGTTAGCGAGTTTAATGTACACCTATAGGTCCCATATATCGAACAATCCGTCGTTACGGTCAATCTGAAAGAATATCGTGACGATCGCTCAAAGCTTACCGCTCATACATGAAATTATTAGTTGTTGCGATTAATCATTTACTTGTTTGAAACGGAACGACAAAGACGTGCTATCACATACAGAAATCCGAATAATTAGTTACGTGCTGTACTTTAAAATGTAAAATGAGCTATGCCTATTTGGCGCTAAATTTAATCTGTCTACATAAAGAAAGAAAATATTAATATATTTTAAAGGAATTGAGGTTCCACCCAAAAGACTAACAACACAATCCTATGAGAATGACGGAACCGACGTACCTATCTTGTTGATCGTAAAGATCCATACACATTCGATTTATCTTTACGATATTCAAGATTGCCTGGGTTTTAGTTGCGATCTTCGATGTCGTTTGCTTTTGAATAAATCGCTAACGATCCCAACATACATTACAAATACAATGCAAAATAAAAAAAGATCCCTCGTTTCGATCAGTCTGAACGGACTATTCGTAAAGAAATACTACATTATGTCCAGCGATTGCTTGCGAGTCGACTTAATATGTATTTCAGCGCTGCGGTAACGTTTTTTGCTGCAATTCTTTTTTATTTTTTTTTGTTTATAAAAAAGGTGTTGTGCAATAAATAAATATGTCCTTTCTCTCAGCGAGCTGAGGTTCTCGCACAACCGCGTGACAGAAATCCGTGGCAACACGTGGCCCAGCATGAACGCGCTGCTGCGTTTGGACCTGGCGCACAACTCGCTGGGAGACTCTCTGCAGGCGGACGCGTTCAGCTCGCTGCTGACGCTGCAGCAGTTGCGGCTTCCAGCCAATGGCCTCACCAAACCACCATGGGAAGCCCTCAACACGCTTTCCAGTCTGCAATATCTGCACCTGCAGGTGAGTATTTCTTGATGATGGACGAATAACGATACTCGTTCGCACAATATGATTAAAATAATATGTATGAACTTATTCACAATAATGTTGATAATAATAATAATTTTGGAAACGCGCAGCATGCCTCTCGAAAATCGACCGCGACTTCCCCGCATACCCCTAAGCAAGCGAAATCGGGCTGTCGTGAGGGCTCTTAACCCAATGCTGGTAACCTATTTGGAAGCCAGCCGGGACCTTTGCGAGACGGACTCAGTTCTTTTTGGCGCCGCAGTGGCAGCTTGCCGTATTATTGGCGTCAAACTTCCCATGGCTGGACGCGCTACTAAACAAAGTAGCGCCATCCCAGCCTGGAGAAAAAGAATTGAGGACCGTATCGCAAAGGCAAGGGCCCTTATCGGCAGTCTGATAAGCTTCAGGTCGGGTAATAATAGACCGAGGGTTGTGCGCACCGTTAGAGTGGCGTTTGCTGGGACAAATATCAGTTTGTCCCAGCCGGATATCACGCAGAAACTAACGGAGCGCATAGACGACCTGAAGCAAAAGATTGCTGCTTGGGGGAAGCGGATTCGCCGATTTACCGAGAGGTCAAGGCGGTTCAACCAGAATCGTCTCTTCCAGAGTGATCAGAAGAGGCTCTACAAATCATTGGAGCGACCAGAGGTATGTGGAGCGGGCCCAGGACCGGACCTGGCTAACACTGTCGCATTTTGGCGTGGCCTGTGGTCAGAGCCCGTAAACCTCAGCGAGGGCCCTTGGACGGAAGTTGTGGCGAGTCAGTGTGCGAGTACTACGCCCATGGACCCCGTCATCATAACGCCGGATGACGTAGCTGAGGCAGTCCGTAGAGATCCGAACTGGAAAAGTCCGGGACTCGACGGACTGCATCACTACTGGCTGAAGGGGTTCATGGTGTGTCACGCTGTGCTCGCCCGTCAGTTTCAAGAGGCTCTCAACCAGAAGTCGCTCCCTAGCCTCTTCACTACCGGGATCACTCATTTGGTTCCTAAAGACCAGGTTACCACAGACCCGAGCAAATACCGCCCCATTACGTGTCTACCCACCATATATAAGACACTGACATCCATTTTGAGCGCGAGAATCACTCGTCACCTGGAGCTAAATCAGATGATGTCACGCGCTCAAAATGGATGTCGGAGCGGTGATCGTGGAACTAAGGAACCACTCCTCATTGACGCGGTCATTGGCAAAGTGGTGAAACGCAACCGTCGGAACTTCTCCGCCGCCTGGATAGACTACAGAAAGGCATTCGACTCGGTGCCCCATACATGGCTAAAGAGAGTCCTCGAGCTGTACAAGATAGACTGTACAGTGAAAGACTTCCTCGAGCAGTGTATGGGGCAGTGGAGTCTGGGCGAGCGGATGATGGCTGCGGAGAACCACATAAGGATAAGAAGGGGTATCTTCCAGGGCGATTGTCTGAGTCCAATCTGGTTCTGCCTCTCCCTGAACCCTCTCAGTACCTTACTGGAGGGATCCGGGAAAGGATTTCAGCTACGGAAAGGAGGGACAAAAGTGACCCACCTTTTCTATATGGATGACCTTAAGTTATTCGCCTCCAGTCGCTCCCATCTTATGGAATTGCTAAAAATCACTTGTGAGTTTAGCAGTTCCATTGGAATGGAGCTGGGGACGGATAAGTGTGCGGTACTCCATGTTGAGAGGGGAAGGGTTGCTAACTCTGAGGGCATAGATTTATCTATGCCCGTCAACTTAAGGACCCTTTCCGAGGCTGAAACATACCGATACCTGGGTATGTCACAGAACATCGGTATCGATGAGGCTGGTATGAAACAGTCAGTTTGCGACGTGTTTTATGCACGCTTGACCAAAGTGCTTAATAGCCTTTTGTCCGGTGTGAATAAGACACACGCATATAACGGTTGGGTCATACCTGTCCTTATATATACCTTTGGCATACTCAGGTGGACTCAGACTGAACTTAACGCCCTGGATAGAAAAGTCCGCACTACCATGACGTCCCATAGGATGCATCATCCGAGATCGTCGGTAATGAGGCTGTACTTGCCGCGAAAGCATGGTGGACGTGGCTTTCTGAGCGCGCTCACTATGCATAATCGTGAAGTGTGCAGCCTCCGTCATTACTTCCTGGCGAGATCGGATGATCCATTCTATAATGACGTCATTTCTAGTGATAAAGGGCTTACCCCTCTATCCTTGGCCAACGAGCAATGGCAGGACCCAGCAGTGCTTAGCATTTCCGACCGGGAGCCCGTATGGAAGGAGAAGGAGCTCCGCGGGAGGTACTATAGGGCTCTACATGAGCCCTTCGTAGATACAGTCGCCTCCCTCAACTGGCTACGTTTCGGTGACCTCTTCGGGGAAACCGAGGGTTTTGTCTGTGCAATATTTGCAGGATCAGGTTATTAAGACCAACAACTATCGGAGATACATCCTAAAGGATGGCACCGTCAACGTCTGTCGAGCTTGTCGCCATCCTGGGGAGTCACTTAGGCATGTCATCTCCGGTTGTTCGGCGCTTTCTAACTCTGAGTACTTGCACAGGCACAACCTAGTAGCCAGAATTCTACACCAGGAGCTCGCTCTGAAATACGGTCTCGTGGACCGGAAATTGCCGTATTACAAGTACTAGCCGGAAGCTGTGCTCGAAAATGACCGCGCCAGGCTCTACTGGGACCGGGCCATCATCACAGACAGGACTATTCTTGCGAATAAGCCTGATATTGTGCTGATGACCGGGACAGTCAAGGATATTTTTGTCGATACCATCCGTATGACGAGAACCTCGTGAAAGCCGAAACAGATAAGCGAACAAAATATCTGGACCTGGCTCACGAGGTGACCGACATGTGGGGTGGTATGCCGGCCGAAATTATTCCTGTAGTCGTCTCTGCGAATGGGCTAACCCCAGTCAGCCTCTCGGGACATCTGAGGCGACTGACGTCAGTGACGGACCGCTCCAGGCTCAAATGCAGAAGGCGGTGCTCCTCGATACCACTCGCATTGTCCGCCTGTTTCTTTCCCTTTCCTCCTAACCCTCGGCCGTTTGGTCTCCCCTGCCGAGCGCCTCCATCTGGTTGGGCTTTTATTTATTTATGTATTTTTGTATTTATTTTATTTTATTGATATTTATGTATATTTATCGTTTCATTTTAATTTATAATTATATATTTATATAACCCAACCAAATGTGAAAACTAGATAGATACCCCAAATAATAATATTTATTTTATTTTTTTTGATATTTATGTATATTTATCTTTTCATTTTCATTTATAATTATATATTTATAGATCCCAACCAGATGAGAAAACTATATAGATACCCCCCATAATAATAATAATAAATCATTTATTTCGGACAACTTGTACATTCATATTGTGTTAGTAAAAATGGCTTACAAAATACTCGTATGTTGGTATTTTATTGATTGGGATTGAAAATTATACTCATTACAATAATAATAATAAATTAATTTCCTACAGTTATATTTATATTATGAGTGACCATCAGGGGAAAGGGTATGTTCCCGTCAATCGTTCCCGTGATCCCGTGATCGTCACAGTAAATCGGTTTGCTAATGTCTTCAGGATGCTATTGGAACTGTTCCTCACTCTGCTCAGGGAGCTCGTTTTTTTTACGAATGATGGCATCGAAGCCATCAGTTTGGTATTTCGCAAATATTCCCGATGCACTGCAAAACCGCGGCAGGCCCAACATCATCCTGAAGACATTGTTATACTGGATTCGAAGAGTGTCTAGCGATTTCTTGGTATGTTTGACCCACAGATTTCCCGTGTACATGCTTTGGCAGTATGCCTTAAATAGCGTCACTTTAACCTCTTCTGTACAGCGAGAAAATCTGCGAGTCAACATGTTACCTCTAACCGCTAGAGCCCTTCGCTCCCTTTCAATATCATCATCGTCTTTGAGGCTGCTAGTGATGACATGCCCCAGATATTTAATATTCAGTCACACGTTTGATGTTCACGCCATTAAGGGTGATATTTGTTGTATTATTGGGACATTTACCAGCAGACTCAAAGATCATGTATTCCGTCTTTTTCACATTGTATGTAAGCTCGTGCCCAGCAGCATACGTCTCACAGACATTCAGCATCTCCCTCAGACCACCCACCGTGGGGCTAGGCAACACCATGTCGTCTGCGTAGCTTATGCTGTTTATACTGACGCCATCAATCCGACATACAACACGCATGCTACTCAGCCTCACGATGAGATCGTTTACATATACGTTGAAGAGCCCAGGAGACGTCGATCCCCCCTGTCACACCCCGCACTCCAACATATACGATTCCGAAAGAGAGTCTGGCCATCTTCAAGGTTGGTCTGATTGGCATACCAATAATGATTTCTTAAATTTATTCGAACACTACACATTGAATAAAACTAAATTTACGGATTTTATCGCGTTTATTTCACTACTTTTACTTATTTTTAATTCCCGACGTTTCGGGTGCTTTACAGCACCCATGGTCACGGGGGGGAACTGAGATGTTTGACGTCCCAATGTCATAGTTAGTCCGGTTCCCTTCAGTTTTTGAATATTAAATTTTGGTCCGATTTACGCAAAACGAGCTTATAGTATCATGAAGTCTTGCAGTGGTATGCTTAGGTTTGGGTTTAATTTTGTTAATTATAGGATCCCAAGCAGGTGGCAGCACCCATCCATCTTCTCTATTGAAATTTGGATGTTTTTTAATTTCAATAGCCTCGCGTATCATCCTTGGTAGGAATCGGTGTTCTTTTGCGAGGATTTGTGGTTTATCAAATCGAATGTAATGGTGGGGACGATTTGAAATGTCAGTTTGGATGTAGAGTCTTGACTCCTGCATCTTGTAGAGGGATATTACACTTGACGGATGGTAAAAATTGACTAATCTTCTTCGGCGGCTTGTAGTATGTTTTAATGGAAGCTCGCTTCAAGATGTAGCCAACATCGTCTGTGACTCCTCTGACATATGGTAGTACAGCAGGCACACGCTCGACTGTGGCCGGCTTCACTCGGTCACTGTGACGTAGGCGCGGGACCCGAAGCTTGTTGTCTTGCAATACTTGCTTGACGTGCTGAAGCTCGGCGGCCAGATGTTTTCTGTCACAGATCCCTCGTGCTCTCTGAAACAAAGATTTACCCACGGTAGCTAACTGTGACGGATGATGGTGAGATTCACCATTTAAATACCGGTTGGTATGGGTCTTTTTCCTATACACAGTGTGACCAATGGTGTTATTAGGATTTCGAATGACTAAACAAAACATCTAAGAAAGCTAAAGAATTAGTTGCCTCTAACTCCATTGTGAATTGTATTTTAGAGTTTATAGAGTTAAGGTGGTTTAAAAATGCAGTTACTTTGTCAGATGGTAAAATTGTGAAAGTGTCGTCTACGTACCGCTTGTAGAATCTTGGATTTACAGGAGCAGTAAGAAGGGCTTTCTCCTCGAAGTCCTCCATGAATATGTCGGCGACTATGGGAGATCCAGGTGAGCCCATCGCCACTTCCTTCCACAATAGATAGTCAGATGTGAGGCAGTGTTTGAGTAATACTGCATATTCAGCAGGCATGTTATTATCTTCTAGCTTCCTAGTTACAATTGACATGCAGTCTTCAATAGGTAGGCATGTGAATAGTGACTGAACATCAAAACCGACCATAGTTTCATTGTCAGCGAAAGCACCCGAAACGTCGGGAATTAAAAATAAGTAAAAGTAGTGAAATAAATGCGATAAAATCCGTAAATTTAGTTTTATTCAATGGCATACCAATAATTCAATATATTTAGAACTCCAAACGGTACACCCCTATCAACAAGCTTCATCCAAAGCAAGTCACGTGACACAAGGTCAAAAGCCTTAGAGAGGTCGAGGAAACAGGCATACACCGAGGTTCCGCGATCAGTGTAATAACGGACGGCATACTTGACACTTACGATGGCGCTTTCCGTGGATAGTCCGGATCGAAACCCGAACTGGGCGTCGTGGACATTTAAATGACTTCGCAAGCAAGAATCCAGCAGACCGTCCAGTACCTTAGCAATGGTTGTTGCTAGTGAGATGGGACGGTGGTTCCCCATGTCCGAGACATCTCCCATTCTGTTCTTCACAATTGGCACCACTACGGTTTTCATTACGTCATGTGGCAAGTGTGAATGACTTATGCATAGTGTAAAAAACATAGACAGTACCCTCGGCAAGTGAACCCCCGCATATCTCAGGTTTTCAACACTGAGTCCGTCGTGTCCTGGAGATTTTCCACCAGTCATCTTCTTTAATATATGCCTAATTTGCTTTGCAGTGATATGTACTGGCGGTCTACCCCCTAAGCAACCGGGCATAGAATTACTAGACGCGGTCGAGGAGCCAAGTGGCGAGCGCACCCTGAAATGATCTCTAAACGTGTTAGCTATATCATTAGGGTCATTAATCCCGCCCACACTCACTGGGAGACTAGGCCTAACATCTTGCCTTCCTGCCTGTAGCTTGCCAAAATTTATCGAATATTTTTAGCTCATCTATGTTTAGCCAAAATATCCATTTTTAATTGTTCCTGATTATTCTGGCACCATTTCAGGCGACTTTTAAAAATCTTACGCGTCTCGTACATTTCTTCGTAAAAAAACCCGAGGTAGGTCGATTATATAGAACCCAAACTTTGAACTTAAGCCTGGCATCCGCATGAGCTGCACGAACATGCTTGTTCCAGCAACATAGATGTTTTCTCTGATCATATTTACCGCAGCGCTCCCCACAAGTCTCCTTAGCCGCGCTACACAATATTTGTACAATATTTTCATAGAGTCTGTTCAACACAGCTCTATGCTCATTAAGATTACACGAACCATGGCTGCACTCGGTAAACTCACTGGGGAAATCTATATTCCGAAGCCTTTTGTTACATAAGTCACGGTAATTATTTATTTGAGATTCACTTCTCTCACCCTATACCTGAGTTACGTGGTATGCTTGACAACACCACTTTGGGCCTTACTACATTTAAATTGCATTCAATAAGTAGCGGTAAATGGTCTGTCACCAAAACATTCTCTATGACACTCACGTGAACAACGGATTGCGCAGCTGACATTGACACAACGCAGTGGTCAAGCCACCGTCTGCATCCGTGGAGCTCACTCGCAAACGTGTAAGTATCGGACTGCAATCCTAGCTTTTTTACGGCAGCACAAACCCATGACTGATCAGAACAGAAATTGTTTAGTTCTTTAAAGAACATCTCATTAGGACGATGCGTCACGTTGCTAAGTTTTTTGGAGATTTTGACAACAGCTTAAGCCTGTAGGCAGTCAACTTTAAGTTCCCTCGAGCAACAACACTTGACTTTAATAAAGTGCTTTATACAGACCACAGAAATCTAAATATAAATTGAAGTCGTAAAAGCGCGTGACCTTGTCGCCGCACATGTGACTCGTAGGTCACAAGCGCGCGAGGAGCGTTTGTTTAGGTCACCAGTACTGTTTCGGACACAGACACGTAAAAATGGTGTTTTGAAGCATATCCAACTGCGGAAATTCCTCCACAACTTGCAAATCTTCAAATATAGGGATAACATTTCATAAATAAGTACTTAGTGTTTTAAATAATGTTGTGTTTAATTAAATATACCTAAATAAAATTATTCACATCCAGTACTACGATTGTCTCCGAAATTTTAATTGTTTTCACACTTCAATATCCATTGATTCCTAAGCTAGTTCATGTCTACGAGTGCAACAGCTAAAATCAGCGATGGATTTATAGTGTGGGCAATAAACAAAACTGTTGCGTACGTAAATTTCCCAGAACATGGCCGCAAGAGTCGAATGCGAGTCAGTTACGTGACACAACTATTTTGTATCGATAATTGATTATATTTGGCTTAACTAGTTTTAACGAAACGGGAAATAAATGTGATTTTTCGTTAAATATTTATCCACCTTTTTACACACCTTTCTACTTTTTTTCTTTCTAAATATTTTATACCGTAAACCGTTTATCGGCGATTATCTGTTTGTTTGTACTTTTAAATTAATTGATAAATTTTTAATCAGTTATATTGTAAGTATAAGTAATTATATTGTAAGAATAGTAATCTTAATTCGATCTGTAAGAAGCCGGGAAACTGAAAAGTAGCAAACAACAGAAAGTCAGTTTCAGATCTTTAAAACTAATTAAAATGATAAATATGTCACCCGTACATATATTTATTCGTTTGTTGTTTGTGTAATGTTGTATTCATTTTATTTATACATCTGTTTATTTAATACAATGCTATTATTACAAGTTACAAAAGATTCGGTTATCAAAGATAAATGGATATATTTATTCTTAATGTATTATTATTTCCACTTTTTTCTAATTATAAAACGCCTAAAAGCTAAAGCTAAGACTAAAAGCCTCTATTACTGAGACAATTTCGGTTAATTAGTTATATCTTGGTGTGAGACTCCTGGAAGATCAACGACGCTTAATAAAAAGTTGTCGAAACGTGCGTTGGTCTGCACTATGCCGAAGTGAGAGCGAGCGCGCAATGTCATTCTCTGTTTTTCGCACACGTTAATTATTGGATCGAGTGGCTACACCTCTTGAGATTTTGCGTTTTTATAAAATATTCCTTAATGCAATAATTTATAGATAAATCATTGTTGCACGAATGCTAGAGATATTTGTAGGCGTAATTGTGTATTTATTGTTTGTCTATGTGTGAGAGCTACGGCCTGGCGACACGCGACCCGATATTAAAAGACAGTAGAAGGCATTTCTATTGTCTTATTATTTAGATTTCTGTGGTACAGACCAATATTGAATAAAAATATTTACACTTTGAACATCGGAGCATTTGTTCGTCGTTTTTACTAATAGTATTCATTCAAGTCGTTTAATGAAACAATCTCATCACTTGTACAGATCAAATAATTAACTAGCAGGAGTTCTCACCAAAACTCCAAAATAGTATTGAAACGAAAAAAGAAAAACTCTTTGAGTATTTTTTGTTTTCTAAACAGGGGGTCGACAAAAATTTACATTTATTCAATTAGAAACACTTTCGAAGCTTTATCTTTCAATCTCGGTTTTTTCTTTACAAGTTAAGTTAACGGTATTGTGGTTTTTTTTTCATTAAATATCCAAACATATTGGCATTTCATCCGTTCTTAGGGCTTTAACTCGTATCACATGACGCTCAAAACGATTGACAAAGCGAAAGTTTTCTGTGTATCTATGGCCAATATCCCCCGTAAGGCATTTAGTAGGGAAACCTATACACTTCGATAGGCTGCATTAAATTAATGACGAATATGTAATTTATTTTGCAGTACAATAACATAAGTTCCCTGTCGAAGTCTGCATTTGGGAACCTGCCCACTACGTTCATGGTGGACCTGTCGCACAACCAGCTGAGCAGCATCGCACCGCGCAGCTTCCTGGGCTTGCAGCAGCTGCTGCAGCTGTCGCTCAGCCACAACCAGCTCGACCGCATCCCGAACGAAGCGTTCAAGGGACTGGTCGCTTTGAGGTACGCTGTACCATAAAATAAATAATATAACTACATACAGAAGTTGCACTTTGATGTTCACTACTTGCCGACGTTATAATAGCTTACATAATTATTATTGATTAGACAAATCATGCACACAAGCTAAATTAAACCTTTGAATAAAACTATTATTTATCGCGTTTAATTACTACTTTAACTTATTTTTATTATCCTGACGTTTTCACGGGGGGGGGGGGGGCTGAATTGTTTGACGTCCCAATGTCATAGTCATTTATTTTTGGTCCGATTTACGCAAAACGAGCTTATAGTATCATGAAGTCTTGCAGCGGTATGCTTAGGTTTGGGTTTAATTTTGTTAATTATAGGATCCCAAGCAGGTGGCAGCACCCATCCATCTTCTCTATTGAAATTTGGATGTTTTTTAATTTCAATAGCCTCGCGTATCATCCTTGGTAGGAATCGGTGTTCTTTTGCGAGGATTTGTGGTTTATCACATCGAATGTAATGGTGGGGACGATCTTGAATATGTTCGCTGACTGCGGACTTCCCGGAGCGTCGGTGCTTCACGTCAGCTATATGTTCTTTCACGCGGGTTTTTATCGATCTTTTCGTTTGACCTATGTAAGAGAAATGTGGTCTACATTCACAACCTAGCTTGTACACACCTGCATCTTGTAGAGGAATATTACAGTACAGCAGGCACACGCTCGACTGTGACAGGCTTCCTCGTTCACTGTGACGTAGACGCGGGACCCGAAGCTTGTTGTCTTGCAATACTTGCTTGACGTGCTGAAGCTTGGCGGCCAGATGTTTTCTGTGACAGATCCCTCGTGCTCTCTGAAACAAAGATTTACAGTTGCAGTAGGTTTGCACGAATGGAAAAGTGCATTAAGTTGAACGGAGAATACTTCGAAAAACAATAAAATACAATTTAGCTATACCGTGCATATGGTTTCTTTTATACCCGATTATTTCAGTGTGCCCCTCAGTGTATACAAAAAGTTACTTACATAAATAGTGTTCAAAAAACTTTAAAATTCATTTGTACATAGCTCGTCTAAAAGGCGCTAGCCGTGACTGCTTATGGAACCTGAGATTCCGCGCGATTGTAGATAATTATATCATGCGGGTAGCAACAGTGACGCAGGAATAGTTGTACACTTCATATAATAAAGATTCTTTTATTAATATTACTTTTTAATTCTTTGTTGGACTAAATAACATCACAAGCTCAATGTCTTCTCAATTGTTACGTTAATAACTTCATTCCTTACTTTGCCACCCACAGGGCAAAAATTTTTCTTAAAATTAAAATTTATATTAAAAAAATATTTTTCAGGAAGTGTAACTTAATTTAACAAAAAAAAAGAATCATCGAAGTTGGTTCACAATTGATAAAGATATCGCGTAAAGTACATACAAAAACCACATGGTCGAATTGAGAACCTGTTTCTTTTTTTTCTAATTGCCCAAAAATCAGTTCGTCTCTAATTTTTTATAGAATAAAGGTGATAAACGAGCATATAGTTCACTTTATGGTAAGTGAATGCCTTGGCCCATGGATTAGATGCCCATTTATCCTCGATTAATAATCAAAATGCAGATGCGAGTTCACTCCTGAGAATTAAAATGGATTGCCTCGTTTCCAATGAACAGGGTCTCCAGTTCTCTACACTCACCATATTGAAACACAGCAGTATTAAACTGCTATTACGCTGGTATTCTTCTGTGAGAGCGTGGTTCTTTCCGATCGCGCCGACCCATTCGTGATACAACCATTCTACCGCCTATAAAATTAATATTTTAATTTAATAATTAACTATACGTCTTGCAGGGAGCTAGACTTATCTCACAATGGCCTGGAGAAGATCGACAACAAGACAAACGGCTTACTAGACGACTGTCTCTCCCTGGAGAAGGTGAGCTATATATATATATATATATATATATATATATATATATATATATATATATATTTTTTGGCATTTTTAAATTTTTTTTCAAGGTTTCGGGGGCATATGATTAGTGATTTATTTTTAATGTCCTTTTTGTCCGTGTTTGCAGGCAATGAAAAACTGTTACAATATAAGAAGGCTCAAGTGGATATCGAGCGGTCGCAAAATCGTAATGCCTTTGTTCGCGTCCTATCTTCGGTCTGACTTTTTTTCAAGTTCCCTTCTTTTGTGAGAAAATCTATTATTTCGACCGCATTTTATAGTATTTTTTAAAAAAAAAACGAAATATTTAATTCAACTAATTGCACTCATGATTTTTTATTCAAATAACCAGTTCAGTTTTTTCTATTATGCTAATAAGATCAAAAAATATTATTCATGTTTCATCAGCATGTAATTTGTATCTAAATGTAATTTCAAAAAAAAAAAACCGAGCAAAGCTCGGTCATCCAGGTACTATGTATATATATATATATATATATATATATATATATATATATATATATATATATATATATATATTATAGATTGATGGTAGAGGAGAAATAGGGGATGACATTTTTAATGTAAAAATTTATCAGACATTCTAGTTTTTACTTTACAGTTACGGCCTAATAAAGTCTACATTTGAATACAGGCTTCCCCCATAGATTGCATTACATTACATGATGGAGTATATTTGCCACGGCTGCCACGCTTGCTAGCATTTTTTATTGCTCTCTGTCGCCTCTCACGACGCGCACGGGACGATACGAAGCAGTCGGTAGACTTACCCGCCACTACAGTGTAACACTTGTTTTTACCTTTAGCTTATGATTTTCTGACTCCACTGGAAAACTAAAAGTGAACTTCAAAGAAAATAATAAAACAATTTCCACATAATAATCTGAAGTCGGGGCTTTAATTCTTCTATGCACGATGTCTTAGCATTATTGCTCAAATTGTTATGTGAATATTATTTTATTCCTTAAGTTCTTTGAAATCCGCTTTTGCTCCCTGAAAATAAGCAAAATTATACCTCCGCCAAGTAAAAAGACGTCGTGCGTTATGAGAGGAATAAAAAAATATATATTTCGAAGATCTGTGAACTCCGTCAACATGTGTTGGGGCAGCGAGGTGGACACTCTCCTGCTCTAAAAACCCTCGCAGAGAGGAGAGGATCGCCTTCAAGTGGCACGTATATAGGCTGTAGTTTTAGTTTAATATATGCTCCTTATTTTTATTACTTTCTCATTCGTTTCGTATGCACAGTTAAGTTTTTGCTCCTTATTAAACATTCAAGTTTGTTCAAATCAGAGCATTATCTTGACTCTTGTTTTAACTTTAAGGTAAACTTGAGCTACAACAAGTTCGGCTTCCTGTCGAAGAAGATGTTCCCGTACAGTCCCTGGATCCCGTACAGGCTGATGGAGGTGGATCTGAGCCACAACGACATCCCGGTCGTCACGTTCGACATTACCTTCGGTACCAAGAAGCTCAAGAAGCTCAATTTGTCTGGCAACATCATTAACGACGTGAGAAATAGTAAGTTTCATGAGTATCTCAGTGTAAACTTCTTAAATTTACGCGAATACTAAGTTCTAGTAAGCTAAAGTGGCAATGGCCGGCCATATAGCTCGAAGAACCGATAATTGATAAGGAAGAAAGGTTCTCGAGTGGAAGCTTCGTACCGGTAGGCGAAGTATAGGACGACACCGCACTATACCACAGATTAATAAATAGTTTACCAACAGATACATCACTCCCATACAATAGCGAAAATACCTACGCTATAATAGGCTACAGAATTGTAATAATATCTGCTGCTCGCAGCGAGAAGAAAATGTACCGTAAGTACACGCACAGAGAGTCGAGATTGTGTTGCCCGGCGCGCGACTCACGTGCAAGCGTGTCATCGGACGAATGCGCTAGAGTTGATACCTTCCTATAATGATTATTGTAATAAAACGAATGTTGCGAAATACATACATACTAACAATATATTTTATTAAACGGTTCTGGTAGGACTTTTAGCCTACCATAAAAAGATGAATCTTTATTATAAGCTCTGAAATGAGTATACAGTGTTGTTTCGTCAACATTAGGGTTCTGTAACAAAGCATTGAAGCTAGGGGAGTTATGTTTTTTTTTGCTACACTTATATGATAAATACTCTGATACATGAGTCAACGCAAAAACAAAGACAATTTTTCATTTGTTTTTTGACTTTCACACCCATCCAATGCACAATAATTATATATGTCGATGGATGCAGGTGGCTCAGGACCGTGGACTTGTGAAGAGCTGTAATAAAATTTTACAATAAAAATAAATTTATGGATTTTATTGTGTTTCATTTTAAGTTTTATAATTCCCGACGTTCGGGTGCTTTACAGCCTTTATGGTGACAGGAGGAATTTGAATTTTTTCATAGCACAAAATCCACCTGACGGTAAGTGGATCTTGTGGTTCAAACATCAATCCTCTTGATTAATTATCAAAATGTTGATGCGTTGTTTCCAGTAAAAAAGTCGCCGGTGCTCTACACTTACTGTTCGAAACACAGTGGCATTAAGCTGTTATTTTATGCTGATGAAACACAGATGTGATGTTATTCGTTGAGAAATAAGACGAAGTACCGCAGAAATATTTTTTATCAAAGTAAAGTGACAAATGAATTTATAGTCGTACTAACCTATCCTTAATCTCATATTATTTAGTACTTCAAGACAAGAGTCCTAGAAGTAAATGTTATTATATTTCAGACGTGCTGGGCAACTTGACATCACTCGAAGTAATCGACCTTTCCGACAACCAGCTGAAGGATTTAGTTTCCCGCACGTGTGAGTTTTTATACCATTTAATTTTACGTTAATATTGGTTATTTTTATATTTTTGCATGCCTTAAGCGCAAAGCGCGTAAGTATGTTCTATAAAAATCTAGTATTCAACGTTTTGTCGAATGAAATCGTTTTTAACAATCACATTGAACATATAAATGATATAAAAAGCACATTGTCATAAAGATAAATGATTATTGAACTTATTTTAATTTATTTGGGTAAATTAACAATGATTTATAAAATAATCTTAATAATTGTGACATCAACCACACTCACCATCGCTTAAATACAGAGATATACATTTATGTAGTGCAATTATGTTTATAATTTAAGAAGAAGAAATTGATTTTTAAATACACTGGGACGTGATGCCGCAATGTCTATGGAGTTTAATTAAACTTGTTAAAAATTATTTAGCTAATATCCACGTAATAAAATAAAACGATGTGTCTTACCTAGTTTGAAGAGCACCTCCCGTCCTCCCTCGACAGCGTGCACTAACCGCCTCCAACTCCTTCACACTCTCGACAGCGACACCTCTACAGCACGACACGTGTTCCGGCACCACGCGGCACGCGGTCACTACTGTGACATAGTTCTTGTCTGAATTGCCGGTCCACTAGTGACCATACAAGTATTTGTTAAAAATATAAATAAATAAATAATACCCGCAGCCGAGACGAAGTTCAACTTGCCGGAGAACATCACCCACATGTACCTGCAAAACAACCAACTGGAAAAGTTGCCCATGGACAGCCTGGCCAAGGCTAACAGGCTGCGAGTGCTGGACGTGAGGAGCAACGCGCTCACCAGCTTCCCGCCGGAGCTGGTGCGCATGCTCAGGGAACAGGGGCTGCAGGTGTACTTTGATGGTGAGTCTACGATTATTTTATAATAATGACAAGGCTATTTAAAAAACATGGCGGCTGTTTTCTTACTCTAAACCTTTTCAGAAATGAGAGGGGGCCTGCCTGTGAGACAGCTGTAAGACACATCGTATATAACCTGACGTTTACTTTTTTACAGGATGATTAAAAATAACGTGTCAGATTATGATTTTCCACATTTCAAATATTATTGTATAAACTTTATAAGTATTGACCGTGTAGTGGCGGTGTAAAATATCCTTTACCCCATATCATCCCGTTGGTGTCGTAACAAACTAGATGTGCAGCAGCGTATTCAAAAAAACAAATAATAAAAATTGCGGTTGCCATCTCGCTCACCAAGCGTGGCAACTATGGCAAATATCCCCACTATGAGATTGCCATAAAAGAAGCCTATATTCGGGGGTAGACTTAAATATGCTGTAATGTAACGGTTATAAGTATGAACAAAATGTTAATTCCCAAAATATTATTTTATGACCTATAAGTCAATTAGATTTATTTCAAATAACATCTTAACAAAAAATATACCTTACCTTGAACATTTTCAAAACAACATTCTTTAACGCGATTTTATAAAAATCCCTTTAGTAAATTATTCAACTTTTTCCTAAGTACTTCAACCACAGATATAAAAATAGACATCTTAACTTCTTTAGCTCATAAACACTCACATGAAATTTCTTTATCTATTGTATCAATCAGGCGACTAGAATGACCATTTACTTGCGCTAGTGAAATCAGGGAAATAACTTTTGCGTCAACTTTGAAATATTAAGGCCCTGGAGAAGGGTCATGTTGAAATATCTATAGACGAAGAAGTCATATAATCATTTTGTGGGAAGAGCACTTTGTTAGGGAGACAGTGATGCACAAAATAACTGTTTTATTGTTTTGGCGATTCTAATAACAACAACACCGCTCCAAGGGAATGTACCAGATCATTTTAATCATGATTATGATTGGATTAAGGTGTGTAATGATCAAAATGAGATGACGATGTAATGGTGACGATAAGTCGTCATTACTAGTTCGATAAAGTATTTGAAAGTATTGGGCATCCTGAAAAAAAATTAAATAAGCATAAAAAATTAAGGGAAACATTGACAATACTTTTTGTATTGTACTTGAAGTGAAGTTAAAGGATGACGATTTTGTCAATTTTTCATAGGTACAATCAGTCCCATATGCAATTGTGTTGCTCAGTTGCCTTGTCACATAATTAAAAACTGATGATTTGTGTTACCCGGACACGATCTTAAATGTGACAACTCTGTCTTACTGCCTCGTTGTTCTGGTGGTCGTAAGCATGACTGCTGGTCATTTGATCTTGGATTGGAATTCCAGCTCGGATCAAATCGGAATTAGGTTTTGTTTTAAGAAATTCTCAGTAGCAACAGAGAGTGCACATGTGCTTGTTCACACACTCGTGCAGTAAAATCCTGCCCTTTGCATATGGCTAGTTTTCGTTGAGAGTGGCTGCCGTGCTTCTTAAAATTCGGTTTGGAGGACATCATTATAATGTCGATTTTTTATTTTGTGAATATAGCTTACTAATAATAGTAAGTGCTGATACGAGTTAGTCGTATCGTTTCGTTGTCACCTCTGAGGACCGAGATGGAATGCCTCCAAGCATGTAACTGTACTGGCTCTGTATACCCTTTAGTTCCAAACAAAAGAGTGCACGCTCTGTTATTTAGTGATCATGTGAGTTCTTCTTAATTCGCCATGGGTGACTAAATCGTGGCCTCTAAGCCCCCGCCATGACAAGAAGGGAACTCGTTTGGGGGGAGGGGTTGTATATCTACCTAGACGGATTCTTAGGCAGACGTAGAGTAACTTACATTACAGTGTGTGGGGTACATTTGTTGCAGACAATCGTCTGAATTGCGACTGCCTGGTGCGGCCACTGAAGCACCACCTGAACCGTCTGCCGCGGCTGCAACAGCTGCGACAGATGCGAGCGCTGCGCTGCGCGGAGCCGCCCGCCCTGCAGCAGCAGCCGCTGCTGCAGCTGGACGAGGAGCGCCTGCAGTGCGCCGCGCAGCCCCACCAGCTGCAGCAGACCGACACGCTCTACAGCCTGGATGCTGAGCCGGACGTCGCCTTTAGGGATATACAGTAGTAAGTTGTTTATACTAATATTAATTACGTGACGCGTTGATTGCTTCCTTGGTCTAGTTGTTGAAAATGCGGTTGTTGGGTTTTTCTGTCAAAAAATTCCCAGCAGCAGCCTGGAGTCAAGCAGTTGGCGCTGTCGCACCTCCGTGCCTCAGTGTCTCACCTCCGTGCCTCGGTACAGCACGTGAAGCCGTTGGTCCTACGCCTGATTTCTGTTCGGTCATCACAGATTATCGTCCCATCGGACTATGAGAGTGAGGGAATAGAAAGTGCACTTGTGCTTACGGATACACCTGTGAGCTATATAATCCTATCCTGCGAAGATAACTAGTCCGATGGCCAAATTTTGGTCTAAAGGACATTATTATACATAATAATAACATTTGTGATCCCTCCAGGCTCAAATGCAAAAGGCGATACTCCTCGGTACTGCCCGCATCGTCCGCCGGTTACTTTCCCTAACTCTCAGCCGCTTAGTATTTTCTGCAGAGGGCTTTCATTTGTTTGGGCTTTTATTTATTAGTTGATGTAGGGAATGCGCTACTATCTATATCCTATTTTGTTGATAGTTTTATTAATTTAGAGCCGTGGTAGCTCAGATAGTTAACGCTCGCTGTAAATATAACAGAACGCGAGTAACCCGGGTTCGATCCCCGCCGACACCAATTAAATTGTTAATTGCAATTTTAAGTGCTGATTTACCACGTGCTCGGCGGTGAAGGAAAACACCGTGAGGAAACCTGCATGTCTGAGGACTGAGAAAAAAATATTTCGAAGGTTTGTGAAGTTCGCCAACACGCATTGGGACCTCGCGGCGGACACTTCCTTGCCCTAAAACCCTCTCAGAAATGAAGGGAGGCCTGTGCCCAGCAGTGGGACGTATATAGACTGTAACTTCACTTATTATTCATTTATAATTAACTACTTGGTGCGTGTGTATATGCGAGTGTGTGCGTGAGTTTACGTGCGTGTGTACGAACATACTTGCGTGCGTGAATGCGTGCGTGCATACTGTGTAGGTGGAAAAAATTGAATCCCTAAAGATACATGATATGTAGAATAGGGAATAAGTTTTCAATGTTACTATTTAGACGTTATTGTGATTGTAATATTACTTACTTCACGAAAAAGAGCTAAAAATTTAATTTTAATAGAAAGTAAAAGCGGATTACGTACTTACTAATGGAATAATTTCATATTCTTATGTCGCTGCTTTAATTTTTCTATGTGTTATGTGTTAGTAGCACCTTTAGAATAAAATCTTTGACGAGAAATTGAATTTTTTATATTGTTTATTGATTATATATTGTTGTAAAAATAACAGATTAAAAGTTGTTAGTGAAGACATAATTACACTAAAGCATATTTTTTTTATTGTAACTAAACTGAGGACTTACATAAAAAGAAATACTTTCAGTTCACAGAGCTCCATCTACATCCACTGGTTCGTGTCTACCAACGAGGACGTGGCGGACTTCTTTCTCTTCATACGAGACGACAAAAACACAATGTACTTCAGTTCGGACGTGGCCTACCAGCTGCGTTCGCTCACAGTCCCCGTCGACGACAACTTCCGCGTCGCATTGCAAAAGGGCGGCCATTTTGACGTTTGCATCCAAGCCAAAATGTCCGCGAACTTCGCGCGGAAATGGTTTGACAGCCAGTGTCAGAAAATTCCCGACAACTTTGCCTCTTGGCCCAAGAAGCTTACAGTCGACAAAAGAAGACTGTCATCAAAGAAGAGGGTTTCTTACAGATGGTTCTCCAATAACACGCTAGGTTTGGTTAGCGACTCCATACTGATTACTCTGTGCATATTCCTCGGCGTTTGTTTCAGGCGGTTGTCGGATTTGGATATTTGATAGCCCCAATAAATTCCTATTTTGTTTATATATGACTGTAACGTTTACTTTGGTTTGTCTTTGCCGAAACTATAACATTTGAGTTACCAAACAGTTTGCTATTGTTCCTTGTTTTTTTTTTAATGACAACAAAATGAAATTGTTCTTTAAGAGAATTCATATAATGTATTTTATTGTTTAATGTCAATATTATTAATTTATTCGATAAATGCAATTTTTATATTCCTACACGTGGTAGAACCATGTTGTAGCTATATTATGGGTGTAGCACGAATGGGTCGGCTCGACCGGGGAAGGACCACGCTCTCACAGAATAGCAGCGTAAAATAGCAGCTTAATGCTGTTCGTATGGTGAGTGAAGAGAACCCAAGAACCTTTTTACTGGAAACGAGGCATTCCATCTTAGTCCTCAGGGGTGACAACGCATCTGCATTTCGACTCCTATTTGAGGATAGATGTGGATGTCTATGGGCTACAGCATCCTTTTACCATCAGGTGGAGTGTATACTCGTTTGTCGATCTAACACGGTGAGCATATGCCTTCCCCATAGATTGCTTCATGGGGGTGGGGGGGTGGGGGGTGGGTGTCAGCCGCAGTTTTTTATTTTTAGTCCTTATTACGAAGACGCTGCTGCATAAAAGAAATTATAATAGAAATTTAAAATATATTTTTGTCAAAGTCTAAATTTTATGGAGCAATTTTAAAACAGCAAAGAAGAGAACAAACGCAGCTCGGCGGAAAAGTAAAGCAACATTTATGTTGTAAAAATAATGGGACAGTTAAAATCATTATTATAATATACTAAAAAAATAAAACTGTCGATTTTCTGTTTTAAGTACTTACGTATGTACCTAACTCATGTTTATGTAACTCATATTTCAATCTGGCAGTCTCTTATTAGAATCTGGCAGTTGATGTTTTTTTTAAACAATTTAATGACTAGAGAAGCAAAAAACTCCTCCAGCCGCAGCGCTCCATATTCTCGACAGTCGACGCTCTTTTTGGTAATATATCGTAACAAGTGTTGGTAGGGATGATACACCCAAAAACATCACACTATAATTGAGTCAGACCTCTAATCGTCAATTTCGCCGCATTGTCACAAATATGTTGGTTTAAGATTTTATTTTTTATAAGTATAAAATTTTAAACCTTATAAACGTTTATATTTCTAAGGCTTAAGAATTTACTTTATTTATTATGTTTCAATGGATGTCAACACTATAGTATCTGAATATTGGCTTTAATTTTTATACCCTCCGTTTAAATCTCTCGATGTGATTTTTTTAGTATTTGTTTTTTTTTTATATTTCTACATTTTGTTAAATAGAGATAAGCAAAAATCATTCCAATTTTACTAAACATTTTTTATAAATATATTTTGTAAATACGTTTTTGAAAACTGTATTATATTTTATACTATAAACAAATGAAACTTTATACTCAGTGTAAATAAATAAAATGAAGTCCGTCCGTTTATACACATTTATTGCAATGAATAAAGTTACCTATATTTTATAAATGCATTTTATTTTCTCGTTTAAGTACTACACAGTATACGCACTTCCGGTTTCTAAACAAAAGCATGTTGCAATTATCTAATTACCTTTGTTGGTATACAGAAATATTTGGTTACTTATATGCGCTCTAGAAAGATGTTCAAAACGTTTGAGGTAACGTATATAATGAAAAATAAAAATAAAATATTTTACCTTGTAATTCGTTAAAACGGAATAGTTAAACGTTGGAATTGAATGATATTATTTTTATTTATTTATTTATTGAAGCCTTTATTTCCCAAAAAAGAATTACATAAAATTAAATATATTACAAAATTTCATTTACATTTACAAAACCAATCATGCTTCAAAGAAAACTTAAACATTTAGATATAATTTTTTTTTAGCCAGAATTTGGAATAAGTTTTATAAAATTATGCTCAATAACCCGAACTAAGTCATATTATTAAAATCGAATAACAATGAACTACATTTTACAAATAATCAAATATAAAATAATAAGAGAAAATGATAAAAATAATAAAAGGAATGATATTATTACATAAGTATATATTCCGGTAGGCGAAGTGTAAGGCGGCCCTCCATGATGAAGTGACCTGATAAGATATGCAGGAAGTCGGAGGATGCTGATGGCTCAGGACCGTGCCATGTGGTATTCCTTGGAGGATGCAATTTGTTCCACAACTGGGCACAGACCTCACTCTGAGAGGGTTTTAAGACAATATATATATAATATATGATTTAGTTATAAGTTTTTCGATGTCTTATATATATGTACCCTAGTGGTGTGTTCTTTAATTTCCTACAAATTTTTAACTTTCTTTAATTCAACTTTTCCGTATGTCCGTATAGTTGAGTTTATACATTTACATTCTAATTAATACAAAACATAACTAATATTTCATAAAGAAACATTAATTTCTACACCTTTTTAACAAATTAACTTCCTCTGCTGTGAAATATGTCAAATGTTTCACCTCATTCCTAAGTGGTGCCGCTCTGGTGGCAGCAAAATGTATTCTTTAAACTATTTTTTTCATACAACTTTCATTTTTCATTTGTTTGAACTGTAAATTATTCTATGAATAAATTTTATCTGAGCATTGATAACTACTTACATATATAAAAAAATCACATATACATAAAACAAACAATATAAAATAATAATATTACTTATAATCCTTTCATCTTTTGCATCATTTTATAATTAATAGTAATAAAGAAGTGTCACTTCTATATTTTATTTTTTATGAAATTATAAATACATTTAAGTAATATTTTTGGTGCTTAAAATTGTATAGAAATATGAACAGCGCCCCTAGCGGACGTAAATGGAACTGTGATTTGTTATACAAAGTCACTCAATGGTGGTGATATAGAAAATAATGCTCGGGGGCAGTTCATTTTCATTACATGCTAAAATCCATTAAATTTACTGCTAAGAGCTAACAAGTGACAATGCAGCTTGCAGCCTTTGAAAATAGCTGGAGCTGTCCTAGTATTGTCAACTTTTTTATTTGAAACAGTATTTTCGAGGCTTTTACGTTTTATGGTTTAGATGGAGTGACAACCTGATAAGACATATTGAAAGTTAGTGGACGCAGGTGGCTCAGGACTGTGCTTTGTGGTTTCCTTGGGGAAAGACCTTGGTTTCGGGAGAATTACAGCAAGCAGTAATGATTACGATGATAAAATTGTTCCGAATGTATACTTCATATTTTATAACAATAAATAGCCATCCGCCCCGGCTTGGCGCGGGTTGTTTCTGGATCTCGACAACAGCGCCATCAGAAGACAGCCAGCATGATATATAGAGAAGACAGACGGACAGCAATCGATTTTTATATGTAGAGACCATATTATAATATCTTAGTTTTGCCTAATATGTTGAGTTTTTTGATGATAGAAGCTTGTCCTCTTATACAGTAGGATTACTATAATGTATATTACGATTGGCTATCCTAAGCTGTATCTGAGTTGCAGCTGTCACTCACCATTTAATTTACTTAATTTTTTAATTTTTAATTTTTTTTTAATTTTTTTTTATTCGTTAATTTATTTTTTGTTTTTATGAAAAACCTTACCTCTACACTAGGATTTTATCCTGTATCGTGGAGCCAGTGTACATACATAAATTTCAGAAGGACAAACATCCAAACCCGATACAATTATTTGTAGCTCAGCTCTGCTACTCATTGCTAAGCTACTACGTCACAGAGCTGTCAATATATAAATAACTTAAACATACTCTCAATAAATAACTTAAACTTATTGTAACATAAAGTACATCAGACTTTTTGATGCAATGACGAAATTACGACATTTGGTTTATTAAGTGGTCCTGCTTGACAAATGGCTTTTATCTTGGGCAGCGTGAAGCTCGAACTCGTCGCTATCAATGGTCTTGTAGTGCGACGTGTCGCCTGGCCACTCGGGGCTGTAGGACGTCCAGTCGTGACTCGCTGGACCTGAAATGTCATCTTATGATTTTTTTATACAATAGTGCTGACAAACGAGCACACAGTCCACCTGATAGTAAGAAGATGCTGTAGACCATAGACATCTATATCAACCCTCGATTAAGAATCAAAATTCAGAATCGTTTTCACCCCTGAGGACTGAGATGGAATGCCTCATTTCCAGTAAAAAGGGTCTCCGGTTCTCTACACTCACCATACGAAACAAAGCAGCATTAAACTGTTATTTTACGCTGTTATAGGACCACGCTCTTACCAAATACCAGAGTACAATAGCAACTAAATGTTGCTGTATTTCGTACGGTGAGTGTGTAGAACCGGAAAACCATTTTACTGGAAACGAGGCATTTCATCTTAGTCCTCAAGGGTGACAACGTTTCTGCATTTTGATTCTTTATGTAGGATAGATATCTATGGGCCACAGTATCCACTTGATCTATGTGATCGTTTGCCACCCTTGATGATAATCTACGGCTGAATTAGCAGTAGCTTTCGACGTTAGCATTAAAACAATATTGGTTCAGTTGAGTCAGATTGGCAAGGCAAACAAGTTTGACAAATGGGTGTCCCACGAAATCAGTGATCGCTAGCATGAAGCACGCATCGAGATGTCTCTTGCACTACTCAACAGGCATACAAACGAAGGAATTTTGAACCGTATTGTTACCTGCGACGAAAAATGAATTCTGTTTGATAATCGCAAGCGCTCAGCAAATTGTTTGGATTCTAGTTCTCTAAACTCGCACGTCTCCAGAGTTTGGACAACTTTTTGGCAGGAAATTTTTTAATAATCTAGAGGTAGTACAAAATGCCTTTGAAGAATTTGTTGCCTCCAGTTCAGATGATTTCTTCAAGAAGAGAACGAACTATCACTGCGTTGGTAAAGATGCATCGATTTCTTGGGTGATTACTTTGATTAATAGAATCAAAAGTAAAAAAAGTTAAGTCAACTTATGTCATAAAAAACGGCAATTTCATTAGTAACTCCTAATATAATATTATGTGATATAATAAAAAAGGACGTCAACATTTAGAGCCCCTCAGTGCATGGTGAGTCCGAGCAGACCAGCTACAAGCAGCATCAATTCTCAAGTGGCAAACGTGGCAACCATGATGAAAACTTTCCTTCGTCATTTCTATCTGCGATTATTTTGAATTATATTAAATATTCTTTGTATATCCGTGTGTGATAAAAAAAAGTAACAAAATCTTATTTAAATAATAAGGGGAGGTTGTCTTACCAAAGGTGGACTGACTTCTCGCGTATCCTGCAACGAAAATAGATCAATCAGATGCTTATTGACAATTTAAATAAGATTTTGTTATCGGATTTTCATTATAGCTTCTAAAGTCGGGCCTTTAATACACTTTGTCTAGCACCAACTTCACAAGCTATTAAATTATATGGACATTATTTTTTTATTTTTTTATGAACTCGGTTTTTACTTTTTATAAGTATATATTTGATTAGTAGAGTCAAAGTAGGTGTACACTTTCGAAGTATAACACCATAATTATCATTACAGCGCTTTACGAGTCCACTGCTGAACATAGACCTCCCCCAAAAAATGCCACAAAGCATGATCTTGAACCATCTGTATCCATCGACTTCCTGTATGTCTTACCAGGTCGATACTCGATTTAGTGGGAAGCCACTTCGTCTACCGGTACGAGGCTGCCACTCGACAATTTGCTTCCCCATCGATTGTCGGTTATATGGCCGGCCAATTGCCACTTCAGCTTACTAATCCGTTGGGCTCTGTCGATCACTCTGGTTCTACTGCGGATATCCTTAGTTCTAAGTTTAAAACGCTGCGAAACCCCGAGCGGAGCACTCTTCATAGCTCGCTGAGCGAACTTTTTATTTATTTTAACAAAACTTCGTTATGGATTAAAAAACTGGTTTATGAGAACTTAGATATGATCATTTACTATGCCTAAAAATAATTCCATAAAATTATTCGTAAGATATTGGGTGTCATCGAGAAATGTAAATAGAGTTTATTTTTTTTATGAGAAACATCGTGTTTTCCAGCAATCCAAGGTCATACATTAAAAAATCATATACCACAATTTTGGTTTGTAATGATTGAGATGTTCACGGCTAGTTCTCTCGTTTCATCGGGCGGCTAGGGTTATGCGTCGTTCGCGCTCTTGGATCGTTACTCACACTTGCGTGTGGCTCCAACGCTGATGTGTACAGGCTCTTACTGGCAGACAGATCTCTGGCCAAGACTTTGGAGCCCTGGTTCCGCTCGATCGCTTCTTCAATACGAGCAGTATTAAATTTGCGTAAGTCTCGCCACATGCATTTGGAGATCTGTCTGTTCAGTTGCCTGTATGCTGTGAAATCTATTGACGATTGCAGCCTCATCTCACGTCTAACAGCCATGAGATTAAGAGTGTGATCGGAGAGCTTTTGTGTTCTTCTGCGGCCGGTCGGAATTTAGCTCCGACCGCATGGACAGTTTCCACGAGTCATTATAATTATAATACGATATTTTATTATTCTTTCCGCTGACTGAATTTCTAGTAATGAAGTATCATATGTCATTATACAATAAAAAAGTAACAACAGATATTTTAAGCCATAGACAAAGTGTACCACGTGGAAATGGAAGTAAATGGCGCGGAACTTCATCTGACATATTAAACGGATCCCCTTTAATGTGCCAGACTGCGGTCACGGTAGAGACTAATGGTCTTGATGTACTTTGGCCTCTATCATTATCGCGGTACCAGACGTCAGCACCTGCTACGATGCTGCCCATCCAGTTTAATAACCCACTTCAAAAAAAAAAGAGGCAGTACTCAATTCGACTGTATTTTTTATGTGTGTTACCTCAGAACTTTTTTCAAGGTGAACCGATTTTGATGATTTTTTTTTTGAAAGTTGATGCTTCTCATGTTCATCAGTAGTTTTTGAGTTATTCTTTAATGATGCATATTTAATTGACCTCGACTACATTGATGATGTTCTCATTTTATTTATATTAAAGTCGATGTACAAATTTTTTAAATTTTACCACTTCTTTACTACATGACCTATTTATGTTCCTTTAATTACAAAAGACTGTACTTAAGGAACTGTAGTTGCATGATTATTTTGCTAGAACGTAGTTTAACTCATATTATGATTTCTAAATAAAACTAATCAATATCATCATCATTACAGCCATTCCCAAGTGCATTGTTGTACTAAAACTAAGGAATGCTACGAAAGACGGTCCCGAATCATTTGAAAACATCTTCGAAAGTCGGTGGGCTCTCAGTTTTTACTACTTCAGTTTATTGATAAAACTTATAATTAAAAACTGACGTGGTAGAGTCACACTGCAGCTTTATTATAGCTGCAGCGAATGGGTAGGATCGACCGGTGAACTAAGTTTTTACAGAATACCAGCGTGCGGCAGCAGAATAGTGCTATGTTTCGTATGGTGAGCGAAGAGAATCTGGGACCATTCTTACTACTAGTACGAAGGTACGAGGTATTCCACCCCAGTTTCATCCAGTCCTCCGGGGTGACGGTGCATCTGCATTTTGGTTTTTAAGTGTCTATGGGCTACACCACCCATTAACAATTATGTTGTGTTCGTTTGTTACCCTCATTATATAAAATAAAATAATATATTTATATAATTTGACAATATATTATATTTATCGAACTACCATAATTTTTCAAAGACTAAATGTCTTTGTAAAATTCACGTTACAAAAACCTATTTACTGACTTACACCTAAAATGTAAACAGTTCTAACATTTCAAATAGTATATTTGCCAGTCATCTGAACTGTCTCAAAAATAATTTTTACAGCAAACAGCAATAAAAAACAGCGGTTACCAACCCACTCGCCAAGCTTGATAACTAATAACTATGCAAATATCCCCCCATGAGTAACGATACAAACAAATGGCCTACAGTCCCCGGCGGCCCCGCTATTCCTGGCTACGGTGGCAACCATGGTAATGGCGTGCTAAGAATCTCCGGTGGAGGTTCGGTTGCCACCTACGACGATTTAACCAGGCAACGTATAACGCACGCACCCTGAGGACTGACGAGAAGATCCTCGAGCAAGAAGAGGTAGACAAGTTGCGCTGGCATATTATAAGGTTATGTGAGGTCCGAAGAGAGGGGGAGGACACGGTAATCTTCGAATTAGGCAACTTGTTACGTCACCGGGTGGCCGACCATCTGTCCCAAGGAGGTGTTGTATTTATCATCCACAAGTCTTTCGTCAACAACCTTGTAGAAGATTGGGAGTGTGTCGAAGAGAATTGCGTACCTTATACCCAGAATCAGTAAACGGTATCCGCTGAAGGTCATACAGGTTTACGCAACAACCTTGGCACATACCGATGAGGAGATGGAAGAAATGTATGTAGATACCACTAGAGACATGCATTCTTCCAAAACCCATTATACGGCGTTGGTAGGAGACTTCACCACAATACTAGGCACAAGAGAAAGCCTGAAGGTGGGCAAATTTGGAATAGGGCAATGGAACCCAAGGGCTTAGCAGCTTGCCGACTTCATGGAGAAATAGGGACTCTTTATGATGAAATCTTTCTTCCAGAAGCGGCCCCACTGGAAGAGGACCTGAAACGTTAAGTTGGAAAGGTCTCCTCTAATGAAATCAACGCTCCGACCCCTCGTACTCTAATCCAGGAACGCGAAAAATTTTAAGCTCGAATTATAAAATCGTTTTCAGTGCCTAGAAGTCTGCAATACAGTGGACGATATGAATGACAAGCTCGTGGAAACTGTCCATGCGGTCGGAGCTAAGTTCTGCAAGACTCGTCGCAAAATAACACAAAAACTCTCAGATCACACTCTTAATGACATGGCTATTGGACGGGAAATGCAGCAGCAGTCTTAAGCAGATCTGACAGCTTACAGGCAACTGAACAGACATATCTCCAAATACATGCGGCGGGAATTACGCAACTGCAATACAGCTCGTATTGAAGAAACGATTGGGCGAAACCAGAGCTCCAAAGTATTTACCAGAGATCTGTCTGCCAGTAAGAGCCAACTGTCAAAGCTGAAGACTAAGTTTTTCACCTGAGATTTTCAGTGAGATTGAGAGGATGTATATAGGCAGCTGTACACAACGTTATAGCTACACTTGCGTGTGGCTCTAACGATCCAAGAGCAAGTTTATTACGATGATATCCGATCCGTTAGTCTGAATTAAATGAAAATTAGAATGGTTCTCCAGCACCTTAAAAACGGCAAGTTCCCATGCGAAGATGGAATTGCAGAGAAGCTTCTGAAATTGCGTGGAAAACCGGCACTTGAAGTTGTTCAGAGACTCTTTACGTCTGTCCTCCATGGTGGCATTACTTCGGAGGCGTGGAGCAGAAGTGCGGTGATCTTGTTCTTCAAGAAAAGCGATAACGCTCTCTTGAAGAATTACAGACTAATTTCCCTTTTGAGCCGCGTCAACGTGCTGTTTTCGAGAGTCATTACGAATCGTCTCGCACGCAGACTTGACGACTTCGAGCCTCCTGAACAAGCCGGATTCCGAAAAGGCTTTAGTACAATAGACCACAGAGTTCCCACCCTTCAGCAAATTGTACAGAAGATCAAAGAGTACAATCTGCCACTTTACCTGGCGTATGCGATCCATGAGAAAGCTTTTGATTCCGTCGAAAATTGGGTGGGGCTACAGTCCCTTCAGTGATGCCAAGTTAACTTTCGTTCTATCGAAGTGCTGAAGTATTTGTACAGTACCTAGGGCTACGATAGCTATCCAAGTACAGAACCAAAGTACGAAACCTATCCAACTGCAGAGAGGAGTAAGATAGGTTGACGTAATAAACTCTTCACCGCTGTATTGGAAAACGTTTTCAAACTACTGGACTGGAAAGGATACGGGAAATGGCGATTACATCACTCACTTTCGATTTGCCGACGATATAGTCCTTATGACAGAATCGCTGGAGAACCTGAGCACTATCCTTATTGACCTCAATAGTGCCTCCCAGCGGGTAGGTCGTAAGACACCTATGGCGATTGTTGTTGGGAGCACTAAGCTCGTAGTTGTTGACGAGTACGATTACCTGGGACAAATAGTCCGACTAGGTATGTTCTAACTTTGGCCGAGAGGTCAATCGACGCATTGAACTCAGCTTGGCAGCGTTCGGGAAATTATGACACATCTCCTAGTCAGCTATACCTCAAAACCTGAAAATGAGACTGTACAACCGGTGCGTGTTGCCAATGACGACTTACAGAACTGAGACGTAGTCCACTGCTGGGGCTAAGCTCGGGGTTTCTATATAATATAAACTTAGAAATGAGGTAATCCGCGGTAGAACCAGAGCAACCGACATAGCCTTAATGGATTAGTAAGCTAAAGTGGCAATGAATCGGCCATATAGCACGAAGAGCCGACAATCGGTGGCAAAAAAGTTCTCGAGTGGCAGCCTCGTACCGGTAGGCGAAGTGTAGAGCAACCCCCCACTAGATGGAGTTACGACCTGGTTAGACAGGCAGGAATTCGATTGATGCAGATGGCTCCGATTCGAGTTTTGTGGCATTCTTTGGGGGACCCTTATGTTCAGCAGTACACTTGTGAAGGGCTGTAATGATGATAATGATGATGATGAATAACCCCTAGGTGATAAGGTGCTTGCTTCCAAGCTATTTGTAAAATACATTTTGTAAATAGTTTGTACAACCTTTTATATTGTAAAATTTACCTATAAAAAAGTCCCGCTGAGTTTCTTGCTGGTTCTAACCTTGACAGAGGTTTTTTCCGAACCAGTGGAAAAAGTAAAAAGTAAAAAATAACTTTCAATTAGACTTACATACATGTGATCTATATTGAAAAAAAAAAAACTATACAGGTTAGGAATTAGTGTTACTAACCGTGGTGCTCGTGATGAGGGGTCCAAGACCAGTCGTGATGATGGCCAGAGTTCTTGGACTTCAATGTCGTGAAGAATGCCGCCACCTGTTAATAATAATAATAATTTTTTACAAAAAGTAAAAGTAAGCTTCAAGGAATTAAGAGGAAGTTGTTTTTGTTGCCCTTGGGGGTGGAACATTTATATGAGAATACCCCTGAATTTGGCCGTGTAGTGACGGTTGAGAATGTCCACTATCCCATATCTTCCCGTGGGATTCGTAAAAGGAGACAGAGGGAAACAGACAGGAGATGGGCAGCAGCATCTTCCTGATAACAACAATAATATAATAAAAAACTGCGGTTGCCAACCCGCTCGCCAAGCGTGGCAACTATGGCAAATATCCCCCCATGAGCAACGATGTAAATAAACGGCCCCCATTACCAGGCGGCCCCGCTACTCCTGGCTACGGTGGCGACCATGGTAAGCGCGGGGCAGGGGGTGCTAAGAATCTCCGGTGGAGGTTCGGTTGCCACCTACGATACTCGACCTGGCAACATATAACGCATGCACCCAGAGGACTGACGAGAATATACTGGAGCTGGAAGAAAAGGGTATGCTGGCATATTAGGCTAGAAAGGGTCTATAGTTTTAAATATCTTGGATATATTGTGACTGACAGCCTTAAGGACGATGAAGACATTGAAAGAGAACGTAGGGCACTGTCGGTCAGGGCATATTCACCCTGACCGACAGTTGGTGCATAGATTTGGTCGCTGCACTGACGCTGTCAAAATCACGCATTTCAAAACAGTCATTTTATTCTTGCATTCTATGGACCAACTACACCAAAAAGGCTTATAGTGCCCTACGTACTCAATACAACAAGGCATTCATGGCGCTGTTGCGGCTGCCGCGCTACTGTAGAGCGTCTGCGATATTTGTACTGGCGGGTGTGGATAGTTTTGATGCAAAAATCCGGAAAAAAAACGCATCTTTGCTAAACAGAGTGCGCGGCAGCGGCCACAGTGTGCTGAGTGAGATTGCCGACAGTGGGGACTGTCGACTGATCAAAAATATGATCTCCAGGACCATGTCCTGCTTAATAATTAAATATTTAAAAAAATATATAAATTATATTACTAACATATATGTAAGTCTCTTTCTACTAACAATTCCTATGGCTTTCAAGTTGTCCGAAATAAACAATTTTTATTTTTATTTTATTTATTTTTATATTATTGGAATACCCGAGATCCGAAGAGAGGGGGAGGACACGGTAATCCTCGAGTCTGGAAACTTATTCTATCACCGGGAGGGCGACCATCTATCCCAAGGAGGTGTCGGATTTATCGTCCACAAGTCTCTCATCAACAACGTTGTAAATATTGGGAGCGTGTCAACGAGGGTCGCATACCTGATACTCAGAATTACCAAACGGTATTCACTAAAGGCCATACAGGTTTACACACCAACCTCGGCAAATCCCGATCAGGAGGTGGAGGAAATGTATGAGGACATTTCTAGAGCCATGCATTCCTACAAAACTCACTATACGGTGTTAATGGGAGACTTCAACGCAAAACTGGGCACAAGAAAGAACGGTGAGCTGAAGGTAGGGAAATTTGGGATAGGGCAACGGAATCCAAGGGGCCAGCAGCTGGCTGACTTTATGAAGAAAGAGGGACTCTTTATGATGAACTCTTTCTTCCAGAAGCGGCCCCACAGGGAGTGGACCTAGTCGAGCCCCGACGGTTCGACAAAAAATGAGATTGACTTCATTATGACGACCAGACGCCAACTGTTCGGTGATGTCTCAGTGATCGCGAGGGTGATAACTGGCAGCGATCACCGAATGATTAGAGGTACACTGAACTTAAATGTTAAGTTGGAGAGGTCGCGTCTAGTGTAGTCAACGCTCCGTCCCCCTCGTGTGCTAATCCTAGATCCCGAAATCTTTCAGCTCGAATTACAAAACCGTTTTCAGTGCCTAGAGGACTGCCATACAGTGGACGATATGAATGACAAGCTCGTGGAAACTGTCCATGCGGTCGGAGCTAAGTTCTGGAAGACCCGCCGCAGAATAACACAAAAACTCTCCGATCAAACTCTTAATCTCATATATGTTAGACGGGTGATGAAGCTGCAGTCGTCAGCAGATTTGATAGCATACAGGCAACTGAACAGACAGATCTCCAAATGCATGCGGAAGAACTTACGCAACTTCAATACAGCTCGTATTGAAGAAGCCAATGAGCGGAACAGGGCTCCAAAGTCTTTGCCAGAGATCTGCCTGCCAATAAGAGCCAACTGTCAAAGCTGAAGACGGAGTGTGGCAGCATCGTTTCCGGGACACCTGAGATTCTGAGTGAGATTGAGAGGTTCTATGGGCAGCTGTACACATCATCGTTGATACCACACGCAAGTGTGTGTAACGATTCAAGAGCAAGTCTTATCCGACACTATTCCGATGATATCCCGGACGTCTGTCTGAGCAAGATTAGAATGGCATTCCAGCACCTTAAAGACGGCAAGTCCCCGGGCGAGGATGGTATTACAGCGGAGCTTCTGAAAGCGGGTGGAAAACCGGTACTTGAAGTCCTTCAGAAGCTCTTTAATTCCGTCCTCCATAGTGGCACTACTCCGAAGGCGTGGAGCAGACGTGCGGTGGTCTTGTTCTTCAAGAAAGGCGACAAGTTGACTGTCGGTATATCGAAATGCTGAAGTAATTGTACAGTAGGGCTACGACGGTTATCCGAGTACAGAACCAGAGAATGAAACCTATCCAACTCCAGAGAGGTGTAAGACAGGGTGACGTTAAGGTCCCCGAAACTCTTCACCGCTGCATTGGAAGACGTTTTCAAGTTACTGGACTGGAAAGGATACGGTATTAACATCAATGGCGAGTACATCACCCACCTTCGATTTGCCGACGATATAGTCCTTATGGCAGAATCGCTGGAGGACCTAAGCACTATGTTCAATGACCTCAATAGTGTCTCCCAACGGATAGGTCTTAAGATGAACATGGACAAAACAAAGATCATGTTTAATGTTCATGTCACACCTATGCCGGTAATGGTTGGGAGCACTAAGCTCGAAGTTGTTGACGAGTACGTTTACCTGGGACAAATAGTCCGGCTAGGTAAGTCCAACTTCCACCGAGAGGTCAATCGACGGATTCAACTCGGCTGGGCAGCTTTCGGGAAATTACGACACACTTTATCGTCAGGTATACCTCAAAACCTGAAAACTAAATTGTACAACTAGTGCGTGTTGCCAATGATGACCTATGGAACCGAGACGTGGTCCTTCACTGCTGGCCGTATGAGGATGCTCAAAGTCGCTCAGCGAGCTATGAAGAGGGCTATGCTCGGGGTGTCTCTGCATGATAAACTTAGAAATGAGGATATCCGCGGTAGAACCAGAGTGACCGACATAGCCCAACGGATTAGTAAGCTGAAGTGGCAATGGGACCGGCCATATAGCTCGAAGAACCGATAACCGTTGGGGAAAAAAGGTTTTGACACGCAGGAAGTCGATGGATGCAAGTGGATGGAGGAAGTCTATGTGCAGTAGTGAACTTGTGAAGGGCTGTGATGATGATGATGATGATACATTCCTTACATTATCGTTCGTTTGACAGATTTCATAGCGGAGGAGATAAATCGTTAGGAAAATGTTATAAAGTTTAATGTTTCTTTCTGTAATATTAGGTATATTTTATATTAGTTTCATTAAAATGGATAGAAAAAACTACGGATACTACTAAAAGTAAAATAATAAAAAAAAATGTTAAAAGTATGAATAAAAAATTAAGGATCAACCACAGACGTATTGTTTTATGTATAAATAGTTATATTTGTAAACATTAGAATCAGAAAAACTTTTATAAAAATGCAAATTTCCGCTTATGATGACTGTGTTACTTGACCTCAGTGACAACTAGTGACATTTGGTGATCGGTAAACCATTAGCGCTCATTCACATTAGCGCTACTCGTAAATGTATTTGCAAAAGCATAGAGACATTCCTCAGTGACGTCACATAAAAGGCAAATGCAATTAGTACCGTCCTGATAAAAACTCAAAATAAAGAAAAACTGTCGCCGTCGCCGACCAGCTTGCCGAGCGGGCCCGTGTACAGCAGCGGATGTTGATGGGCTGTGATGCATTAATGAATGCAGAAAGTAAAACTGAAACGTAGTTTAAAAATCGAAAAAAGTAACCACGCGTTTTTGCGGATATGAAGCAAGCACTCTATCTTATTGACTCTTAGATTAATCTCAAGTTTCAAGCTTAAGCAATCATCGACAGTAGGTAATAGTAAACCTCCCAACCACTAACGCATTGTACGTAATTTAAATTGAATATCAAACGAGAGCTCTTTACGGTTTTTTTTCTTCAATCAATTTACTTTCAATACTCTACGCGGTAGGTGTACGCACCGTAGATTTGGAGATTGCACAAAAAATAATTTTATTAACACTATTGTACGTTTTGGGTTTTTAGGTTAGCGTCTCAAGACTCATGGAAATTCTGCTTTGTTTCTTTTGACGATCTATAGAAGAGTTAATCAAAATGATATATAAACGTGCAAACGTAGCCGGTATTCAGTGATGTTATAAATTAATAAAGCGCCCCCCCCCCCCCCACGCAACACTAATGGTCTGCGAAATACTTTATTTCCATTTCTCGTTTCATATCGTAAAAAAAGGTAAAACTTTTTTTTACGATATTCTATTGTGTCGCCATCTCACGGACATAAAACTAAAGAAAGCTAAACTGACAAATGCTATTTCTTTTTTTTTTTGTTAAAATGTGTATGGTGCGGGTGCGATTCGGCCACAAGAACTATTTATTCACTTTCTATTTGGCGGCAAATTAAAAGCTTTTTCGGTTGAATATGGAATTGATATTAATATCAATTTATTTTGGAGATATAATTTCACTTATTATGAAAATAAAAAATAATGAGGAAAGGGATCTCTGTGTGTGTCGTCGTATACGCACACTGACATTCATTTAATCATCCAATTTTTTATTACAACCTCTCAGAGGCTCTCTGCTGAACTTCTTCTGGCTTCCCCGTAGATTACTTCATATTTGCCGTAGTTGTCACGCTTAGCGGGCAGGTGGGCAAGCGCAGGTTTTGTTATTTTGAACTATTCGTAGGAAGATGCCACAGCTATCTACTGCTTCATTCCCCTGTGATGCCTCTTACTTCTTAAAATAATAATAATATCCTCCAGACCGGTTTCCAGACACGGCGGATAGTTTAAATGGAAACTAGTCATCAGCGCAGGGCAGCATTATAAGCATACGGGAATGTGCGCAAGCAAAGGTGCACTCTTTATTCTTTCACTCTCAAAGTCCAATGGGACTGCAATTCGATACGCCCGGAGAGACATCAGGCGCAGAATCAACGGCTTTACGTGGTTTCCGAAGCACGGGGATTGAGCACCGCCAACTTCCTAGCTCCGGGCTGCTACTGAGAATTTCGTGACAGAAAAACCCAATAAGTGATTTTGGACTAACCCAGGATTCGAACTGGGAACCGATCAGCAGTCGCCTTTACGACCACTAGACCAACGGGTTTTACCAATTTCTTTTTATAATTCGAGTTTCATCTTCCACGGCACAAACGGGATGATATTACGAAGTGGATTGACATACTCGTAAACTAGGATTGTGCGGTAAGGACCTCTAAACGTGGTGTGAAAATTTGGACTTCTGAATTACAACTATTTTCTTTTATAGAATAAAGTTGACAAATAACCACACAGTCCACCTGAAGGTGCGTTGTCACCCCTGAGGACTAATATGGAACTCGTTTCCAGTAAAAAGGGTCTCCAGTTTTCTACACTCACCATACGAAACACAGCAGCATTAAGATTCTATTAACCCTGGTATTCTGTGAGAGGGTGGTCTCTCCCCGATTGAGTAGGCCCATTCGCGCTACAACCATAATATAACTGCAACTTGGCTCTACCACGTGGAGTGAACTAATCCCAATCGGGAAGTTAAAAACACTTAAGGCATTATTATAACGACATATTATTATTTTTGTTGGACCACATACTAAACTTTTTCTCAATAGGCCGTTAGGTTTTTTATACAGTTTGCCTTGTTACAGTACCTATCCGCTGTATTCGGCATGGTGTGGTCGAACAAAAAATTAGGTTATTTCTCTTTAGACTACTTTCACTCAAAATAATCTTCGTTTTTCTTTGCCTAACTTTTCTTTTTACTACGCACATTGATAAGCTCTTTAAAGTATTAATACCATAGGATTAAAAAAAATACAACCATGCCATTAACACGACTAAGTTTATTTCTTCAGTTAAAATTGAAGTGTACAACAATTTTACAGTCCTAGTGACAGCCAGTGACTATTATACATTGTCACGTGTTGTCAACTCTGTTCTTGTGTATGTGGTTGGCCCTGCGGCCTTTACTTTTTTGAGTACAACAAATCTCTAGCTAGTGGGGGCTTGATGTGATTCAAGGGCCCCTTTGAAGGAGGTACGAATCTCGGCTTAAATGACTATCGGAAAAAGGAAATCGGATCGTAAACTAAGAACGCGTCGTATCACGGGTATTGAACCTCATGTACGGCGTATATCTGTAACCTCGCGTTCGCCGACGAACGCGGTGTGCCCTAGTGTTTTGTATTATGTTTGAATGTGTGTGGCTACACTCCCCGTAATTATACTGACTATTTAAACCTTTCAGGCAGGGACACGGCAGTACAGGTACTGCTTGACGAAATACGTGAGAAAAAACCTTACGTAGCAGCTGTGTATGTATCAGTTAATCTGTGCCCAGACGGACTGCTAGGCAGAGGTCGAATAGCGGATTCAAGCTCACGATATTTTAATTTCGCTGTCTGTACGCATATCTCTTGACCACTCACTTATTTCCTACTTTTAAAGAAAATAAGTGAGCGAAAATAAGGAACAAAAATAGGAAATAAGTGAGTACTTTAATTTTGCGATAAGATATTATAAAATAGACAGAATTTCTCTCGTATTAAACGAGCATAGCATTATTGTAATATAAAATTTTAATAAAATGTTCAAGTATACTAGATATATATTACACTAAAGTTTTTAACATTTGTAGCTGGCTTAAAAAAGGAGGCTTATAATTACAGAAATTAAACAATATAATATGTTTTATATGTATATTACGCGGTATCTTTGACAATTGTGAACCAATTTTGATAATTCCTTTTTTACTATATAAGTTATACTTTAGGTTTGGTTCTATGTAAATTTGGAGATAACTTTTCGCCCATAAGGGAGGTAAAATAGGGGGTAATTATTAACACTACATTAAGATTGTGATATTACTTAGATCACTCAAAAGGGTAAAAAATAACATTTTATTTAAAAAAGAAAAAGCCGACTTTAAAGAACTGGAAGGAAGAAACTAGTTTTATATTCTAAAGTCGGCGCTTTAATTGTTTTATTCACTATGTCCTACCAACTTTAGAATGTGATATTTTTTTAAATTCTCAAAAGTCAGTTTTTACGTTTCATAATTAGTTATTTTTCCCATTTTTATTTAAAAAGTAAGTAAAGATAAAGCTTATTTTTATCACACAGAAAGTGTCCTCTTAATTTTAAAAGAAATTACGGACAAACTAACTACCTACTTTCCTCGAAACATTTAAAAATATGTTTTTTGATCTGAATGCGTTGCGAACATTTCTCATACGGGAGGGTTTGCAACAATTGTTACGTTGATTCACCGAATTAACACATTGTAAATTTGACGTTGCAGGCCATCGCTTATTTGGAAGGGCCATAACTTAAACTCTACATGATCTTTTCACATTTTCTAAAATTGAATGTTAAAATACTAAGCCGTAGAATTGCATTCCTGTCCAAAAGTCCGTCACGATAGAAACCCCCTTTTACATATTTTGGCGCCCAATAGCAGTGCGTACATTACCATGTTCGGTACTGAAGGGCACAGAGCCGGTATAAATACTAACATGGAATGTTTCATTCCATTAGTCCTTTGAGGTGACAACGTATTTGTAGTCTTCTTACGTTTTATTATTTAATGAAAAAACACACTCGGCCTATCAATTGACTTATATAGAAGATGGGATGATGAGTCCTCCTACATAACTAAGATTCTTTATAATAACGGCTTATATAACTGAAAACATAATTTATCGAGATAGATTAATATAAAATACGATGTAATAGACAGTACGTGATGTAATCCCGCTGCAGCTGTACTTAACCTGCAGCAAAAATGATTCGTGAAATGGCAGCCTTCCTAATAGATTCTGCGTTTTGATTCTTAATCGATGACAGATGTAGTGGCCTACAGTACCCACTTGCCATCACCTAACCTACGTGCACATTGGTCACTATTACTTCTTTAAAAACAAGTACCTTAGCAGAGCTGACAGCGATCTTGAACACCAGGAGGATAATACCAATGGCTACAGACTTGGCTGCCATGAGGGAGGTTATCAGCATCCACGTCGAGGTGGCTCCTACGTGGAAGATGAGCGGCAACATGCCCATTGATATCTTTTTAATGCCACGGTTCTCTGTTGGAAAAAAATTTGGGGATACATACATTAACATAGGGTATATTTTTAAATATACAATTTATTTATAAAACTTACAAATATAGTATTAAACTAATTCTAATACTAAAAACCTTAAAAATATATATTATAATAACTAAATTAAATTATTAAAAAAGAGGTCCTTTAGGCAAGGTTCCGAAGATACTGGCAGCGTTTCCCCCGTTGAATAGCTAGACTAATTCTTTGTCCGAGGTAACTGCCAGCTCTTCGGTCTCTTGTGACGTCGATTAACCTTTTTGCTATTTCCTTAAAAAGGCTTATAGCGCTGGACCCCACGGACCAAGGGTCTCGACACCGAAAGGGACAAAAATATATTCGGAGCCTAGAGCCCTGTATTTGCAAACTTTAGCCTTTTCTGCCGCTTCACAAGCCGCACCAGCTCTGTTGTAGGTTCCACGTAGATGGGAAGGGGCCAGCGTGTCTGAACAGGTTGCATCCCATACCAACACCCGGCCCATCCTCCATGGAATCAAACTCATACCGTCCGGTCTCTTGCCATCGTCTCTTGCAATACCAGACGGCTCAAGTAGACTTGGCACGTTGACGGTGGCAAGAGACCGGCGTATGATATCGTTAAGTGCTGCATGTCTCGAGAAGCGACCTGCACTTTTTTGACATGATAGCCCGTGATATCCTAGCTTGTCGACGTCACTGCCACACGGACATTTATGAGGAGCGCAGACCGGAACCCCAAGCCGTAGACAGGTTGCGATTCGGAGCGTGTCAGGCTCAAGAAATGTTCCTGTATTTGACGAAGGATACGCGTGAAGCCAGTAGCCGGCCTCATGCGTACCGACGGCCAAAAGCCTAGCACGTGCCGAATTAAATATATTTTTAAATTACATGCATTTATAAATATCCTAAGTACTTTGTAAACTATATATACTATACAAGCATATTGTAACCAAGTTATTTAAAATATAATCTCCATATCTTTCATCTATAGCAAAGATTTAAACTTAAACAAAAAGGCAAAAAAACATTTATGCATGCATGTAACATTTAAGCCGTGGTATAAAGTTAAGAGATCAAATTCGTTTTGAAAAAACTCTAGACTGTTCTATTTTATTTATAAATTTAACATTTAATTAATTCAGAGATTTAAAATACACAGATTTAGAAATATTATTTATTCATTAGAATTTTGAATTTTTACTTACGTTGTCCTGAAACGTCGTCGAGTTTTGGTTTAATTTCATAATAATGGATTAATCTGCCCACTTCAGTATCGCCTAAATACTTATCATTAAGACCTTCTAGCCATTTAGTAGCGTAAATAATATATTCTTGTAATTTTAGTTCTATTTTTTCTTCTAATGCCGAAATGAAACTTCGCGGTTCGTTTTTACTTTCATTTCCTTTGCAATTTACGAATACATTGCAGAAAATTAAAAAGAAAAACGTCAAAGTTTTGCCGCGCATTTTTTTCGACTGGTGCGTCCGATCCCGATTCAAAATTGTAACTGATTAGTTTTTGCACTTGAGCTCCAAGGTGAATTGAGTGACTACATCGTGAAACAAAATCTACTAAGAAAGTAGAGTTTGATGGACACACGAATACAGTTGAATATAACTTGCATTATAAGAAATGTATAATTTGGTTGCTAAGTGGATTGTAATGTACCCTAAAAAGTTGCATGTTAGCATTTTCGTATTCACATCAAGAATATTTTGTCAAAATTTTGATAGTAAACGCTGTTGTGCAGTCACGAATGGATTTATTTATCAATAAATGTAATAAGTAGCTACCAGGTCGATAAACTAAAGTTTCGCATTGTTAACATATCTACTGAAGGAGTATTTTTATAGAATAAGGGTGACAAACGAGTTACCTGATGATAAGTGGATGATGTGGCCATAGACATTTACATCTATCATCGATTAAGAATAAAAATGCAGATTAGTTGTGGCCTCTGAAGACTAAGATGGAATGCCTCATTTCCAGTAAAAGAGTCTCCAATTCTCTGCAATTACCATACGAAACACAGCAGCATTAAGCTGTTATTTTACGATGGTATTCTGTGAGAGGCCTTGTCCTCCTCGGTTGAGCCGACCAATTCATGTTACAGCCATATATAGCTGCAGCGTGACTCTATCACGTAATGAAAAAGTATTAAAAGAAAAAAAATTCAGTAGCCTGTAAACAAACCCACGATAAAATGTATGATGATTGATAATCTTGATAAAAATTGTAAGTAACATGCGTATATTACTCCTGTATTGGTCTGTAGCGTAAATGTGTCGCAGGCAACCAGCTTGATTGTACTTGGTGTCCTTCAGAAGCTCTTTAACTCCGTCCTCCATGGTGGCGCTACTCCGAAGGCGTGGAGCAGAAGTGCACAAGAAGGTCTTGTTTTTCAAAATAGGCGACAACGCTCTATTGGAGAACTATCGACCGATTTCACTTGTGAGCTGTGTCTACGTACTTTTTTCGAGTGTCATTACGAATCGTCTTGCTTACAGACTCAACGAACTCTCGCTTCCGAAAAAGGACGTGGTATTGTACCACGGCCTTTTCGCATTGTCCCATATGTAATAGTACATTCAGTACCATATAGCACATACATAACCTTTGGCAAATTGTACAGAAGACCGTACAATTTACCATTTGTCTTGGGTGTGTGGACCATGAGAAAGCCTTTGAATCGGTCAAAAATTTTGAAGTCAAGTTGACTGTCGGTATATCGAAATGCTGAAGTGTTTGTACAGTAGGGCTACAATGGCTATCCTAGTACAGTTGTGTAAAACGTTACAGTCTGTTGTGGGTGTGGTTTTTCTTTAAAATTCTCGGCCCGCTGCATTTTCCCTCCATTTTTTACTCCTTCCTCCATTGTAAAGTGGTGGGTTGTTTCCCCCTTCGTTTGAGTTGTCGGTGGGGTTCAAAATAATAAATCTTTTTTTTAGTCGTTCATCTAGAGCTAGAAACAAGTCTTCTCACATTTATTTGAGGATGATGCAGCGAATATTCCTAATCAGTATATTCCTAATTAATATTATTAATCAGCCATGCAGGTTTTCAGACGATACATTTTCACCCCATCGGCTGCGACTAGAAAACCTTTTCACCCCATCGCCTGTCGGTTCTTCGAGCTATATGGTCGGCCCATTGCCACTTCAGCTGACTAACCCGTTGGGCTATGTCAGTCACTCTGGTTCTACTGCGGATATCCTCATTTCTAAGTTTATCATGCAGACAAACTCCGAGCATAGCCTCTCCATAGCTCGCTGAGCGACCTTTAGCTTTCTCTTACGGCCACCAGTGAAGGACCACGTCGCAGATCCATAAGTCATCACTGGCAACACGCACTGGATGTATAATCTCGTTTTCAGGTTTTGAAGGTATACCTGACGAGAAGATGTGTCGTAACTTCCCAAACCCTGCCTAGCCGGGATGAATCCGTCGATTGACCTCTCGGTCGAAGTTGGATTTACCTAATCGAACTATTTGTCCCTGGTAAATCTAATCGTCAATAACTTCGAACTTAGTGCTCTCAACAACCACTGGCATAGGTGTGACATGAACGTTACTCATGATCTTTGTTTTGTCCAGAGTTTCGGGGATATAACGTCATTCTGTCTTACACCCCTCTGCAGTTGAATAGGTTTCATACTCTGGTTCTGTACTCGGATAGCTATCGTAGCCCTACTGTACAATTACTTCAGCACTTCGATATACCGACAGTCGACTTGGCACCGCTGAAGGGACTGTAGCACGGTCCAAATTTCGACGGAAGCAAATACTTTCTCATAGTCCACATACGCAAAACAAAGTGGCAGACTGTACTGAAGTCGTCGAGTCTGCTTGCAAGACCATTCGTAATAACTCTAGTGAACACTTAGATGCTATATGTTTTACCTTGGTGATTTAAATTGAGAATCATTATAAAATGTGTTTACTGAAATACAGATGTAAGGTTTAAATTCATAGATTTGACTTATACTTGTTTAATTTTTGGAAGTACGAGTACAAAAGGAAATTGAAAAAAATCTCAATGAAGTACCTAAAAGTTCTTTTTGAGTACATTTAACAGATTAGCATAAACATATTCCATCATTGGTTAATCTGAGGCCCTATTACAAATTGCACACGACATGCACATTAAAAAAAGAAAACAAATTAAAAACAGATTTTGTTACGCTTCTATTGAAAGTTTAAAAGACTCAGGAAATGTGGATAGTGGAGTATAATTGTGGTATGTCCTCCGCACAGATTACCCCCCTGTGGTCCTCCCCTAATTTCTGAGAGGGTTTTATACAAAGCAAGATATCTTCGAAATATTTTTATTGTGAGAGTATATTATACTGATATAAACCTACATATCCTGATGATATGGTTGTTCCGAAATTTAATTTTTTTATAAAACTGAAGTGAAATGAACCTACAGTCACCTGGTGTTAAGTGGCTACGGCGATCCATGGACACTGGTAGCCAACTACATACAAAAAAAGCAACTGGTATGCATATCGCATTGTCACCCTTGCTATATTTTATGCGAAAAATCTATAATGTATAATTATCCTTTATAATCACTGTTTTTGTTCGCCAGCCCGAAAAGGTCCACGGCTGGACATCACGCGCACGTTTTAACACGAGGTAGAGCCACTCTGCATTTATTCTATGGTTATAGCACGAATAAGTCGCCTCGACTGGGCAAGGAATACGCTCTCACAGAGTACCAGCGTAAAATATGCTAATGTGTTTCGTTTGGAGCGTGTAGAGAACCGAAGACCCTTTTTACTGGTAACCAGGCAAACTATCATCGTTCTCTGGGGTGACAAAGCATCAACATTTTGAATCTTATGAGAGAATAGATACAGGAGTCTATGGGTCACAGCATCCACTTACCATCCGGTAGACTGTGTGTTACCTTTATCTATAAAAAAGTTATCACATTTATTATGGATTTAGAATCAAAATGCAGATCCGTTATCGTTAGTAAAAAGTTAGACTTCATAATAATGTCCTTCAGATTGAATTTTGGTCACGACGGCCAGTCTCAACGAAGATTATCTGCGCAGGAGAATTATATTTCCCAAGTATATCCGCAGGCAGAGGTGCACTCTCTATTCCCTGACTCTCATAGTCCGTTGGAACGGAAATCGAACATTACTGGAAAGAGATCAGGTACATGATTTTATACGGTGGAACTCGTGATGGGTTATGAGATTTTGGACAGAAAATTTTTTATCATCTTTATGACTACTAGACCAACAACACCCGTGTTTGCTGAGGGGAGGGTGTGGTCAAAAAAAGCATGGCAAGGTCTTCAGGTCATTGCATCCACTTACCATCAGGTGGTCTGTGTGTTTGTAACCCTTCTTCTATAAAAAAGGTTTTTATAAAAAATTGATGTCCTTGGATTTCTATATTTTAATTTATTATACAAAAAATTATTATTTTTATATTTGGAGCAATAGCTTCGGAGATATCATAAAAGAAGTTTCCCGCGTGCATTACATTAACTCCGTTTCATATAAATAATTTTTTCCCCTATTATAATATAAAATTTTAACTGTTATTTATCTTTATTATTGTAATTAAATCTTTTAATTTTGAATATATTTTAAGCGTGTTTCAGTAACTTCGAATTTTTAATGCAAATGTTAGATACTTTATGCTTATTAACAAAAAATAATGCTTTTCAAATGTTTAATATTATATTACTTCTTAAATTTTTTTCACGGAACACAGAATTCAAGACTTTTTATAAAATTATTTTTATATTTTACGTTTAAATAATAATGCGTCGACACATTACCGTAACCGTTAAAGCCTACTAAATGCCTATTATTTTCAACATAGGCTTCCCTCATAAATTACTTCATATATTTGCCAAAGTTGCCAAACTTAGTAAGCGGGATGGCAGCTGCAGTTTTTTATTTTTAGTCGTCATTGGAAAGACGCTGTTGCCCAGCTCCTGATTTGTTTCCCCCGCCGACACATGATACATTACGTAGGTTGAAAATAACACAGTTTTAATTTCAGATTGATTCATAACTAGCGACCTGCTAAGTCTCCGCCTTAGTAAAATCTATTTATTGATTGAGCCTTATGTAGATTTAAGGCGATACCACGACGATAGTGCGATTTTCAGAGACCATTATCTCATTAGTTATGAGAAATAAACTACATCTAAAAGCATATTATTAATATTCGATATCCTATCATCACATTCTAATTTGTTTTTATGTGTTATAAGTACATTTAAAATCAACTTTTAAAAAATGACTAAAATTATTGATTACAGGCATCTGTGATTAAAGGCAAAGATCTAATCAATTGAGGATTGCACTAATCGACACATAATTTAAAAATCTATATTATTCACGTTTTATTTAATTTGTTAAGTTCACTTTTCTTTTTTGAATTGAAATTATTTAAAAAAATTTGGGCGTTTTTCTTACGCGATATATTGTAGCGAGAGCGCGTGGATTGTATAGGACCGAACGCTCATCAAGGTCGTTCGCTAGGAGTAGCGCCTAAGTCAAATTTTTCGGATAAAATGTAGTCACGATTCTTTCTGGCACTGCTCGCTATCTGTTCGGGAAGTTTCATCACAATCAATTGTCATAAAGATGTCTAAACTCAATTTATGGCATTGATTTCGATACTGCAGACAGACAGTTTAATTTTATTTATATTATTAAACCCACATCTATGCGTTTAACTAAGTCGTTATCTGCGCATTGTACCTAATTAGTAAGAAGAAATCGCTGTAATCTTTGTCAAATAATTTAAAAAAGATTATAGTATGTGTATTTGAGCGAAAATTGTTGCCGGCAGCTTTTAAAATGAATGTGTGAGGGTGGTCTATCCCATCCGAAGACGTTTTTTTGGGACTCAATCCTTGATGGTAAATGGATGCTGTGGCCCATAGACATTTATCCTCGACTAAGAATCAAAACGCAGATGCGTTGTCTCCCCTGAGGACTAAGATGAAATGCCTCGTTTCCGGTAAAAAAGGGTCTCCGGATCTCTACACTCACCAGACGAAACACAGCAGTATTACGCTTCTGTTTTACGCTCGTATTCTGTGAGAGCGTGGTCCTTCCCCGGTCGAGCCGACCCATTCGTGCTACAACGATAATATAGCTGAAGCGTGGCTCTACCACGTATAGTTTATAGTTAGTGGTTAGGTACTTGTTTCTCGATGTCACGCACGCTCCGCATCAACAGTGGCGAAGAATAATGAATAGTTTGGACAAAACTCATTAATTGCGGTGATTCCTTAAAATGTACCTCAAAATCAGGTTCCGCATCTGACAATTATTCCCTTGCCAATTGTCAGAATAGTTTATTTAGTTCAAAGTAAATATCATCATCGTCTTTTTCTGCCTCTATCTCTGTACAGACTCACGCAGCGTCTGGAGTAGGCACACGCAGCGCTTGAAGTAGGCACACACAGCGCCCGGTACTGGGCACACACAGCGCCCGGAGTATTTTGTATTGGCTTATAACCTTCTCAAGCAACACATCAAAAAACTAGCCCAACGAGAAACTAAAAATTATAAAATAATTTTAAAACCACGGACTGTGTACCACGATCATGAAATTTAAAATTTCGTAGGCAATTAAAAACAAAATAACGCAGTAAGTAAACGAAATAATCATTATTTCATCAAAAACAGTTTTTGTTCTAAAAAAATGCACTAATAGTTTATTTATATAGAATAAGGGTGACAATCGAGCACACAGTTCACCTGATAATAAGCAGATGCTGTGGCCTATAGACATTCATATTCATCTCAATTAAAAATCAAAAAGCAGATGCGTTGCCACCTGTGAGGTCTAAAATGGATTGCATCGTTTCCAGTAAAAAGCGTCTCCGGTTCACTAGATTCATCATATGAAACATAGCAGCATTAAATTGCTATCTTATGTTGGTATTCTGTGGGGGCGGGGTCTGTCCCTGCTCAAGCTGATCCATTCGTATTACAACCATAATATAGCTGCAGAATGGCTCTATCACGTTAAATTATATAAATCAGAATTACTTACGCCATCGCGTCTCGAGGTCATTAAACGCGATGTCTGTCGCGATATCTTGCTGACTGCTCCGCATTACATTAGCTTACCTATGTCTGACTGATATGGAATATGAGTCTGCATTGTTGTAAAACACTTTTCATCTCGCACTTTAATAGAATAATGATTATCTGACATCAGTGCTTGCTTCCGCAAAAGTTTGTTTAGACTTTCGGCTAGAACTTTACCAATTCTACACTCACGATGTAAGTTGATTAGCTGGAGTGTGAGTGATCTAACCATTCCATTTAATTTTATTATATTTAAAATACAGTGATGAACATAGTCTTCCCCCATAGATTGTCTCATGGGAGGAATGCTTGCCATAGTTGCCATTCCATATAGAGCAGGCCGCCCTACCTCGCCTACCGGCTCGAAGCTTATGCCCAACAATGAACATTTACTGATTGCATATAAGAAATTCAGCGCGGTGTGCGACATTTTCCTTCATTATTTGTGTCAATATCGTCGGTCAGGGAAAAGGAAGCTGTAAGTTTTTCAATTACTTGTGACAACAAGTATTCATACTGTTACAGCCTACACAAAAATACACTGTTGAATATTCGCTTCATACGCTTCGATACCCACTGGACGATACGTGGTAGTGTACGTATTTACATCGCCAATATATAGTTAAATATATCGTTATTACACTAACGGCATTAAAAACGCCCAGAATAGAACAATTACCACGTAGCTGAGTTTTTACCAAATAAGTGGAGGCGGGCGCGGCAACAAGTCGTCTATGACGACTTTTGTTCAAGGTTTGAGCAAAATGCCGCGGTAGTCGTTATTTGTGATGTTTTTAGGAGCTATCTTCTTGTTATAAATAGGTATATCAACTAATAAAGAATCTATTAAATTTCTACATAATCTTGATTTCATAATAGCCGATTCCTATTTTTTAAAAAGGAGTAAATACTTGATGAATCTTCCCGCAACTAAACCACAGAAATGCGAAATAATTATTGATAACGTGCATCTCCTTATAAAGTAAGCATTATATTTTTTTTCGATTGACATTTGGATAGGCAATTTATTATGAACATTTTGATCTATTATGTTTTCAAAGGACTAAAATTATGCTAAATTTGGTGTATAGTAGTTAGAACCGAAGGATTGTTCGCTAGCATTATTTATTACGATCTTATGATTCACGAGCTTGTATACATACAATTTTAATGCTTCAAACACTCAAATTGCTATAAAACTTCCTAGAGAAGTGCAATTAAATGTAATTTTAATACGTTCTATGTTACTGGCTTCATTTTTAGCGTTCTGTACTTCAAATAAAAAAAGGAACAATTCTGAGGCAGGGGTTGTAAAAGTCCAGGTCCAGAAATTTTTCAATTATTAAAATATTGTAAGCACATAATATCCAACTTAATTTAATATCATATTTGAATAATTACTGCTGCTTTGCATTGAATATTAAGTAAGTTGTACATGCATAAATATTATAACATTTTTGTGTTGGAGCAAAAAGTGACAGGTAACGAACAATGTTTAAAACTATTGTTATTCTTATTTCATATCATTCCCTTTATTAATTAAAAATCTATTCTTGCTTACGTGATAGAGCCATGCTGCAGCTATATTAATTGTATAGTTGTAGCACGAATGGGTCGGCTCGACCGGGGAAGCACCACGCTCTCACAGAATACCAGCGTAAAATAGCAGCTTAATGCTGCTGTGTTTCGTATGCGTGAGTGTAGAGAACCGGAGATCCTTTTTACTGGAAACGAGGCAACCTATCTAAGTCCTCAAGGCTGGAAATGCATCTGCATTTTAATTCTTATTCGAGGATACTCGTAGATGTCTATGGGCTACAGCATCCACTTATCATCAGATAGACTGAGTGCTCGTTTGTCACCCTTATTAAAAAAAGATTTTTAACTAATAACTACTCGACATTAGCTTGCTCTGCTCCTTATGTTTTCGATCTTTGTTTTCTTTTATTATCTATATTTGCAATAAATAATAAAATGAATACTCGCAACGCCAAGACGCGCCAGATGGAGAACGAACTCCAGCTTGAACTCCAAGTACTTAAGGCGTCCAAGGAGGAGTGTGAACTGTTGCTTAAGGAAAGGTATGGTAATGAAAAGCAAATACCTTGCATAATTGCAAAACAAAAAAAACGCAATTGAAATACGATATTGTTACGTTGCATACAGATTACTCACACATATGTGTTATAAAAGAAAGAGATTAGCTACAGTAAACGATTAATGAGTCGATCTATGCCGCAAGGAATATGAGGAAGCTCTCAGGTTTATTGCTTACATTGGAGTTTTAGTTGAGTGAGGCTAATGAGCAAATAGCACAATTTAAAACATACATAGATAACCTAAAGACTCCCAGACCAATGCCTGTTCTCTGAGCTTGTGCATTGTAATACTTCTAGAATATTACAGCAATCTGCAATAATAAATTTGATTTCTTTATCATCAAGCGGGAAATCTCATGGCAACACAGATGCATTATCAAGAAGATATTGTCCTGAAGAATGCAAGCATTGCACTAGGCAAGACGGTACGTAAGTGGTATCTGTGAGGATGCTCAGAAGAGACCACCTCAGCAACGAGTAGAAGGACAGCCTACAACATGCACAGCGGGAAAATTTGGATATCAAACCGAATCTGGAATGGATGAAGATCAGTGCTCCCAAGCCCGAGTGGAGCGATGTCTCAGCGATGAGTTCGACCACGAAGAGCTATTGGGCTCAATGGTACAGCTTGCTGATTCAGGATGGAGTTCTGTGCCGTAAATGGGACAATGGTCCGGGAGACAGATTTCATTTGCAAATGGTTGTCCCTAAAGCTAAAGTATCGGATGTTCTACAGCTGTACCATAATGGTTGTTCAGGAAGCCATCTGGGAGTTAAACGAACTCTATTGAAGATCCAAGAACGGTTTTACTCGGTCCACTGTTGTGACGATGTCAAGGATTAGCGTTGCAAATGTACAAGTTGAGCTGTTTTAAAGGGACCTCAGACTCGTAGCAGAGGTCCATTGAAATTGTACAATGTTGGTGCACCGTGGGACAGGATAGTCCTTAACGTTGTTAGGCCGTTTCCGGAAAGTTCGCTAAGTGGTCAGAAGTCTTCGCCATTCCAAATCAAGAAACTTCAACAATTGCAGATAAACTAGTCCATGAAGTCTTCTGTCATTTTGGAGTACCTTTAGAGATTCACAGCAATCAAGGAAGGAATTTGGAGTCTCAAGTATTTCAGGAAACTTGCCGAGTTATGGGTACTCATAAAACAAGAACAACTTCTTACCACCCACAATGGAATGGATGGAACGGTGGAACGATTTAATCAGACATTGGAGAGGTACCTAGCAAAAGTTGTAGAAAATCGACTACAAGATTGGAACAAGCACATACAACCGTTTTTGTAGTCATATCGAAGCGCTGTTCATGAAAGTACATCAGTGACACCAGCTTTCGCAAACTTTGGAAGAGAATTACGGCTGCCTGCGGACCTGATCACCGGAATACCACCTGATGCCCCATACAGAATAACTGATTATGCAAACGACTTGTGGAATAAAATGAATGACATTTATGAGCACATCAGAAAACCGGCTTGCAAATGTCTAAAAAGAATTATATAATTTACAACTTTTCCAAGATTTTCAAAAATGCATGCAATACAGAAATAGGCCGATAATTATCAACACAGTCCCTATAGCAACTCTTATAAATAGGGTGAATCATTAAACGCTTGAATTCGTGTGGTAATTCTCCAGTATTTAGAGATAGATTACAAATATATGTTAGTATAGGTGTTAGAATATTTGTGTATCGTTTTATAAGGGAATTTAAAATATTGTCATGTCCCATGCAGTTATTTTTAAGCTTTGATATAATTGTTTCGATTTCCGAGTCATCCATTGCAAGTAACACAAGTGAGTGACTAGAGCATATATCTGGTGTGCCCAGGGATAAGTTTGTCGAGTGTATATTTACAAAATATTCATTAATGTTATTTACCGACTTCCTAGGATTATAATAAAGAAGTTTTGTAGCTGGAGCTGTGATTTTAGTTGTGTGAGTTATATTTTTTATTATTTCCCACAGTTTTTTGTTTTTATATTTTGTAAGGCAAAGTTCCACTTTTTCATACTCTTATTTTACCTTCTTAAGTATGTTATTACAAAAATTCCTATATACAGTGTAGGTTGTTCTAAGAATTGTGTTATTAGGATGGTTTTTTGATTTAATATGCAAATAGTCCCTATTTTCATATATTTTAGCAAGCCTCGAGCTATCCAAGGTTTAATAGTTCGTTTACGCCTCGAGGCCGTTATGTTTATAGTACATTTGTCAATAAATAGATTCAGAATATTAATTAAAAAAGTAACTGCATCATTTACATTTTACTTTGAGTATATAGGTGTAAAATCTAATTCAATAAAAGTTAAGTCTAAGGCCTTATAGTTAAGTTGATTAATTGTTTGCAAAGGAGAAAGTCGAACTTTTAGATTCTTTTCGCTGACCATCCTGCGGTGTGATTGCTCTATTCTGGATGTGCGGTTCACACAGCGTTCAGTTTGCAAAGCAATCCTCTTCCTGGAAGTCAACAAGTCTAATAGGCCTGATGGAGTATACGTATTATGCTGAAGACGAGTGCTACGGAATTAGCACCGTTTCTAACACGTCTTTTCCAGTACTCCACCTCTCCGCTTTAGTGCACGCGATCCCTAAAAAGGCAAACAATCAGACCCGTCTAACTATAAGTTTCTTATCATCTCCTCTTTGTTCCCTAAAATAATTAAGTTTATTATAAACTGTCAGCTCATAAGGTACCTTGAGGACCTCTAGTTGATTTGTGTGTGCTGTGTTAATATTTCCTGTGTCTTTAATAAATAAATTGTCTGATTGGAGACGACTATAGTCCATCTTACACTTCAGAAGACACGTGATTTACCGCTAAAAAGAACTCTTCGTCGTATCTCCTTAATTTCAGAACAGTCCCCATGTTGCCTCAGCCAGCATCGGGATCCTCGACATCGACATATCGAATGCGTAAAATTCCGTTGTCACTTGGAAGTGAAGGTTGAATTGGCCTCTAAAAAGCTTAGCATGCTCAGCAGACTGGGACTGTGGGGCAGACAGACAGAATCACATGGACTACTGTTTTCATCTCTGGACCGTAGCACCCCTTTTAATCGATCGCATCGTGTCGTCGAATCGTTGATGACCGTGTTCCTTCTGATAAGCTCGATTAATTAGCA